TGGTCTGCTCTTACGGCAGGCCCAGTTCCGGATCCGCCGGCTCCTGTAGTGTAGGCGCTGTGAGGACTGCGCTGACAGGGTGAGTCGCAGGACCAGGAGGTCCAGCAAGGCCATGCTTTCTGACCTGGAAAGGCCTGGAATGGGGAATGGTGCTTCCCCAGGTGGTTCTTCCTCTCTTCCATGTCTTTATCCAAACCAAGCGCAGGGTTGGTGCCAGAAAACATGACGCGGATGCCAGAATGCAGGATGTTGTGAATGAAGCGTTTCAGCACGTTGCAGCCTGTTTCAACTGAGCAAATGATGGTGGCGTTGTGGCAGAGGTCTCAGCAAGGTGGCCTTTCGCCAGTTGGTCCGGAGTGCCTGGAACCACGCCCGCGTACCGACTCACACCCTTGATTTAGGCTGCAGATACGTCATGGACCCTGCCCGGTTAGCTGTATTTGTGTTCAGCTGATGCAACCCAAGAGTCAAGTGCCTCCAGCATTAAATTGCAAGCTGCTGGCTGTTGAAGAGGAAGAAATGCCTTATAGTCTCTCCAATCACGTCAGGAACATGGGAACACAAGTCTGGCCAAGCAGTGTCTGGACAGAAGATTGACAGGGAAGACGGCTCAAAACCAGCCAGCCAAAGCATGCTGTGAATTCACCTCCAAACATAACGACACTTCTTGGCAAGCTCTCCGTATTCTTTTCCCAGCATTCTCCTGTAAAAACAAGGGTGACCCCCGACGGAGGACACCACACAAGCTGTGGGGAGGGGGTAGTGGTTTTCTCACAGAAACGGAGCCGAGTCGCCTTTGGGTGAAGGTCACGCCCTCCCTGAAGGGCAGTCCATCTGCCATGGTAATGGGGAGGCTCAGAACATCAGTGCAAATCCACATCCAGAGTGTGTTGTCCAGCGCGGAGCTCTCCAAGGCCAGTTGCTGGATCCAAGATGGAGCTGGCAGGAAGGGCTGCTCCCTTGGGAAGGTGCCCTGCCTTAATGGCAGAGCATTGTCTTACGTGTGTGTCAAATCTTGTTTGGGGGTGAGGATCTGCCGGCTACCCTCAGCTTGTTTCCTCGGATTCCAACCTGCTTTCTCTCTTCCCTAAGTGTGCCTCAAGCCAAACGTTTGCATGGACGTCTGAGAGGTTCGAGCAGAGTTCTGCTTCCGGACACCTGCCTTACAGGCTTTGTGTACTTCATGCAAATAATTATTTAATTTGCATATCTTTTGCAAAGAATTATATGCTTTGCATACCTTGTACCAAGAATCCACTTGTGTGCCTGAGCTTTCATGGACTTCATCTCAACTTGGCTCACTTCCTGGCTGGGGCCAAGCATGGGAAAGACATCCGACTTGATCTTCACATCTCTAGTCCCTGGTTCAGTCCTTGACATCTCTCAGTAAAAGGATCTCAGTTTCCAGGCAACAGGAAGGACTCTGGATTGGTCTTATCTATCAGAAGCATGCTGGATGGACAAAAGCTTTGACTTTCTGTGAGGCCACATCACATAAATATTGGTGTGTGCTTTTGTACGTGGGCTTCTAGAAGGCCCAGTCGCTGACCAGTGCAGAGTCCGCATGCCACCTGGAGAAGCCGGCCTTGCATGCTCCTCTTCTCTTGATGGTTGTAGAGGCCGAGAGGGGTTGCATGCATGCAGCCTGCAGGAGCTCACTACTTTCAAAGGCTGAATCCACCCAGCCCATGCCTTCGAGCTGCCCTGTTGTGCTCAGTGCCAGAAGGAACTTTTCTTTCTCGGAGGAAATGTAGCTCAAGCACTCCTGCTCGCATTTCCCAGGGAATAATCAGATTTTGACAATTTGATCTCCCTGAAACCACGTCTGATGTCATATACACCATAAAGCTTTTAGTGGAGTCATTAGTCGGCGTCTGTCTGTGGCTAAACCAGTCTGTCCGTCCTGTCTCTCTCGTTGATCTGAGTCCCTCTGCCTTGCACTCGATTATTCTTTCTCTCCCCGTGTCCCATTCATTCATTCATAAGCCCAGCGTCGATTGCAGGGTTGTCCTCTGGTTTTTTGGGGGTGGGTGGAGGGGGAGGCTCTCCAAGTTCTGCTTCGGCCCGTGTGGTTAGAAATTGTTGGCGGCTTCTGTCCACAGAAGGGCTGCAGTTGAAACCACAAAACAACCGCGTCGGAATGGCAAAACATTTCAAATGGCCGAGCCTTGTTACTGTCCCAGCTGCTGCTCACAGCAGCACACGCTGCATGAGAATGACGCGGGGAGGTGGTCTCATTTCCCGGGGGGAGCTGTTGGTAAGCTTTTCTCTTCCGTAAATAAAGCTTTGTTGGGCATATGAGGTGCCCCGGCTACCACGGTTCCTCTCTCCTGGCAACCCCATTATTCAAAGAAGGAAGCATTACAGGTGCTCCATTTCCGCATTAGCCCAGCTTGGCACATGCCTGGCTTTGGCAAGAGCAGGGGAGAGTTACGTCAGGCGGCCCGGGCATTGTCAATGCTTCCAAGCCACACTTCCCTTCCCTTCCCTTCCGGCCCTCGAAGGGCTTGGGGCGACGTGGGTTCAGCTGCCGCCACCACTGTTCCTGTCTCACCTTGGGCCCGCCCGGCCTCGCTGTGCCAGAACTGGCCACATCCCTGGACCAGCAAGCTAGTTGGTCCCGAGTTGCCCCAGTGGCTGCTGGCTGGAAGCCCCCTCGGGGATCGTGCGGGTGCTTCTGCACTGCGAGTGCGGGTGCCAAGAGTCGGGTTGTGGATGTATGGGGTTCGGATCCCCTCGCTGCCAGCTGTGAATTGGGCCTGACCTACAGGCACGCGGCTGAACGGGTTCGGGTTGGCACCATATGTTTTTAATTAACCCGCCAATTGGTGATCACCTGGCCAGCAGGTCCAGTCCTGAACAGCTTGGCTGGGATCCCACAGGAGGAATCCAGCCCCTTGAGCTTTGCTGGGATCCAGAGGGGGATCTGGTCCCGAGCAGCTTGCCTGGGACCCAGTGGGGGGATCCAGTGCTGCGTACCTTGGCATACACACCAGTCTTTGGAAGGTGGCTCTTCCCTGGCACACCCACTTGATGGAATGAAGCAGAATCTGGGTCTGGATCTCGGATGCTGCAGTTAAGGCGCAGTAAGTCCCCAGCTGCAGAGCTCAGGGTGAACCCAGAAGGGGGGGGGGGGACTGTCGCTTCGCCTGCCACACGCGCGTGTATCCAGATGTGGCCCACTGATTCCTACCGGAACGTCGCCCCGTCCAGTTACGGAGGTGCAGCTCGTGGCTGCCACTGAACAACTCCTGATGGACATTTGGACTCCTGTCCCTCAGCACTTTCCCATTCTCTCCATGCTGGCCAGTCATCCTTCCCACCTGATATATTTTTTTCTTCTTTTCTTCGTGTAGACCAGCATCGTGCAACTGTAGATGTGCCAGGGGTCACTTTTGCCTGCCCCAAGGACTGCACTGGGAGGGGCGTGATGGAAATAATTGGGGTCCCCCCCCCCCTTTTCTTCTTTTAAAACACTGCATATTGGCAGCAAATTGCTGCATAGTGCTCAGCAGAGCTAAAAGGGCTAAATTTGATAGCGAGCTAAATTTGTCTCTCCCAGCACTCTGGAGAGCCATTTCGTTTTGGAAAAATAACTCCAGGGCTGCACTGGGGCCGGCCACGGGCTGCAGTTCATGGGCCCACGTCCCCCGCTTCTAGAGGAGACCAAGCCTCAGTGGGCTCTCTGAAGACTGGCATTCCCGAGCGTGCTTGTTCCACCCCTCGTATTACACGTGCACCTTTGTTAATTGGCTTGGAAGCCGATCATAAATAATGGCAATTATAATAATGGTGCCTTACCTTACAGGAGTGTTGTAAGAACAGCGGACCTACTGTATACAAGTGCAGTGAAACACATTCAGCACCACGTGGGCTATAAAATGTCAGGGCCTGGATGTTGTTATCGCTTGGGAAGCTGGGGAGATGGCCGTGGAGTGGGGAGATACCTGGGGAGACGAACCGTAATGGGGCGGGCGCTGGCGGCAGCAGTCTTGCAAGGACAGCGGTTCCGGTCAGGCTTTCTCAGGAGGACGTGGTGGCAAAACAGACGTCGCCCCCGCTGGCCTGTGTGTGCGTGTGACGTTTTGAAACGTTCCTGGTGGACAGAAGGCCAGCGGAGCTGACAAAGGGGCACCGCCGTTCTCCCCAGTGTGCCAGCTGGAGTATGACATTCCCCAGGCCCTTCTCTCGCTTCACCTGTTGCCTGTCTCTAGATGAAGCCATGGCCGTCGCTTCTAAGGAGTATAAGCCAGCACATGGTGGAGGTCTGTAGAAGCACGTACGGTGCGGAGAACACGGGTACTTTATTCCTTTGTGAAAAGCAGAACCCCACGGGATCGTCAAGTGAAGCGGCACGGTGGGAAGTTTGGGGCAGAGAAAGGCAAGGGCTTCTTCAGATAATTTGTAGATGAGCCATGGAATTCTCTGCTGCAGGATGTGGTTACAGCCATCAAATTAAACAGTTTTAAAGGGGATTCGACAGATTCAGGAAGGATACGGTTGTGAATGTCTACTAGCTGTTTTAGCGACCTGCGACATCCCAACCCAGAGAGCACATACCTCCGAACGCCACTGGCAAGAGGAGGGGTCGCCTCCTTTGTTGCTTATGGGCTCGCCAGGTGCAGAGGGCCTTCTTATGCTTGCCCCCCTGCTCGGTGTTTCTTGCTGTGGGGGCAGCCACTCTTCTGTCCCCTGGACGAGCCACATGCCCCGGGGATGACAGACCCAAGCAGAGAGACTGCCACTGCCTTCTGTGGCCCAAGCCACACTGTGACAATGACAGCTGGCCTCCGTCTTACTCCCCAGATGTGCTCCTAAGGGTGAGGCAGATGCGACGGAGCCCTAATGAAACGGCACCTGGAGATGTGCTTTTCTAAAAAGCTTGTGAGGAACAAGTCGCTCTGGGAATGGCGGAGCGTTGCGAACAGCCGTTCTAATGTTCGTGTTTCTCCTTGTCGTGCAGCTCATCTCCAGCGATGCCGATGGAGCGATCCAAAGGGCTGGCCGGTTCCGGGTGGAAAACGGCTCTGTTGATGAGGTAGGAGAAGGCTTCCAGCTTGAGCCCCCCCCCCCCCCGCATTTGCCATGCACTTTGGTTAAGCATTGGCTTTGTAACCATGTGTAAGGGCCAGATGCTGCAGGTACGTGTTGAGTTTGTGAGTCGGAACGGTTCGTTGCATTGTCTGAACCCTCCTTGCTATATTTTTTGTGGCAAGCCCAGGTTTCTGTTTCCATTTCAGAATACCGATTATGCCCCTGGTACATGGCACAGAACAGATGTGCACTTGGAGAATCCGGAATACCACACCAGATGGTACTTCAAGTATTTTCTAGGAAAAGGTAGTTAAACCTTCTGATTGTGGGTGTGTGCAGGGGGGCGGGGTGCATGCACACCCATCCTGAAACATCAGTGATTGAAAAGCTCGCTGGGATAATGAAGCCGTGCCCGGGCTGTTTGCACCTTCTTCTCTTGCCTAGTTTTGAAGCAGGCTTTTCCCAGAGTGAACTTTTTTCTGATGGAAATGTTCTGCCCTTTGCCACCTTAGCAGATCCAGAGTTCTGTGTTGGCTCACTTCTTCGGTAGTCGTTGACCAAGCGCTGGAGCCCTCGGCCAGTCAGGACATGATGTGGCAACCTGCTGGGCTCCTGTTCTGGCCACTCGCGCTCTCCAGGTGGCTGTGAGATGGCAGCTCAGGGCCCACGTACATTCCCGGATGCCCGTCCTCCCATATTGTGGCCCAACAAGGTCCAAGCATGAGAGAGTCCCCTCTTCTAACCCCATGATGGGCTTGCCTGTTCTAACGGCTGCTGCTTTTCTTCCCAGTTCATCAGAACTATGTTGGAATGGACGCAGAAAAGAACCCCTTCTTTCTCTCTGTCGTGCTGTCTGACCAAAACAATCAGCGTGTCCCTCAATACCGTGCAATCCTCTGGAGAAAAACAGTAAGGGGCAAACTTTCTGTCTTCCGTCTGATAGTTACCCTAATTCTGTTGCTCGGTTTCTGTCGTCAGTGGGAGGAGCCATGCTAAACAGCACATTCTACGAAGGACCCCAAAATCAGACCCAGAAACTGGTCAGATGCAGCACCCAACTGAAAAGCCAGTTCAGGGTTTCTCGCATTAGCTGAACCAATGCCATGTGACCAGCCATAGTTTGTAAATGGCCACCAAGCAAGGTTCTGGACGCACGAGTCGAAGTTGGTTTCCAGACCGCAATTTCGGCAGCGCGCAGTTCAGCATTGCTTCTGCCCTGACAGACCGTTGCTTGTCTGCTCTTGCTGTCTGGGACAGCATTCAGGGATTCTTGGAGGGTGACGAAGGAAACGTCACAAACCAGGACTTTCTGGTGTATCTGAAGCAGCAATCATTGTAGCCTGTGCTACAAGCCAACACTCATGTTCGCGACCAGTATATATACTTTGTATGTGTTTGGCCACTTCTGTTTACATCTGATCTATCATAGCATCTGTTCTAATGCAATTCTTTTATAGGGTACTCAGAAAATATGCCTCCCATACAGTCCTACAAAAACTTTATCTGTGAAGTCTATTTTAAGGTAAGGATAATCGTACTTTCAGCTCTAGTCTTTGCTGGTCTGAGGAATGAATCACAGAGGGAAAAGCACAGCGCCGTGGAATCAGAAAGAAACAGAGATTAAGATGTGTTGGATGGACCGCAGAATTGTGTGCTCTCTCCCCCTAGACTCCCCGCTTTCTTCTGCAGGGCATATTTCCCGTCCCTTTTAGACATACTTCAACATCCTTTACTTTACAATATCCAACATACTTCAACATACTTTAAAAATGTTTTAATAAATAAATAAATAAATAAATCCCACCATGAAGGTGGTATCCACATTCCCACTTAAGCAAGGGTTATGAACCAGTGTCAAATGTTGGTTGAGGGGGGACCCCGGTTAGTGTGAATCTCGGTTCATGCCAGTATTGATGCCATGCTTACTTGCGGTGAAGGATGACTAGTGAATTTGTGCTGGAAATGCTGGGGGGAACACATGAGCCCTCCTCCCTTGAGAGCATTGCCCCATCAGACTGGAGAAACACGCCTTTAGTGTTGAAGACAAATTCCTCTTTCCCACCTAGCAGCTGAGACTTTTTGGAGATCTAGTTAATAAATCATTCCACTTGAATGGTAAAAGGTAAGCTATTCTTTCTTTCCACATGTCTGTTTATTTATGTTAGGTGTTCATGTCCCACCCCTCAGTATAAAATACATTTACAGGTAGGTTAAGCTGAGAGGCAGTGATGGGTCATTGTCATGGCCAAGTGAAGATGAGACCTCGGATCAACTAAGTCCCAGTCCAGAACTCTAACCACTAGGCAACATGGGCTCTCAGTGTGGAAGTGAAGGCTTCCAGTGCTGCATCACAAGATAAGATGAGGAAGAAACTTGCTGCTTTTCCCTATCATGCTAAACCATGGTTTATCACACCCTTCCTCAACCTGGTTCTCTCTAGATGTTTAGGTTACATCTCCCAGTATCTCTTACCATAACCTTGCTGCCTGGGGCTGATGGGATTTGGAAATCCAAAACATCTGGAGGACACCAGTTTGAGGAAAGCGATACTCAAATGTTACTGAAGAAATGGAAGAATTAACACAGCAGCTAAAAAAGATTTTGACGTGGACTTTTAAAAAAATCGCTGGTGAATATTCACTGGTACTTATATGAACAAATAGCATTGAGACCACAGTTTGCCTTGTATTTCAGTGCCATGAATCTTGACAAATTTGAGAAAGGCCCTAGAGAAATTCTTCACCCTGAAATTCAAAAGGTAAGCTATATAAAGCATTGGGGGTGGAGGGGGGCACTGGTTTCTCTGTTCTCATAGAATAGTAGAGTTGGAAACAGCCAGAAGGCCCTGCTCAGTGCAGGACGCCGAGTTAAACCATCCCTCTAAGATGGCGGTCCAGTTGCCTCTTGCGTGGCTCTAATGTGGGAGAGCCCACGACCTCCCTTGGACCCATTGCTGTACTGCTCTAACAGTCGGGAAGTTCTTCCTGACGTCCAGCTGGAACCTGGCTTCCTGTAACACTTCTGTGTCCTGCTCTCTGGGATGGTCAAGAAGAGATCCCGGCTTTCCTCTTTGTGACAGCCTTTGAGGGACTTGTAGCATGCCATCATATCTCCTCGCAGTCTTCTCTTCTCGAGCTGGAATCCAACATTGGCCAGAACCTCTCCTCTTCTGCCTCCCTTACTAGATTATGAGAAGGAAATTCCATTGTGAGTGGAGTGGGGTTGGCATACAAGTCAAGTGTGATCGTTTACCATTTCAAGGCTTCTTCTAGTACTTTCCTACGTTTTAGCATTCAGCATGAGGGAGATGGGGGCCTTCGCTGTCCACAGAGAGGAATCTGGTGTGGCGTTGTAGTGGTAGTGTTGGCCTGGGGCTGGGGGGATCTGGCTTCTAGTCCCCACTGAGCTAAGAAGCTTTCAGGAGACTTTGGGCCAGTCATTGACTCTCAACCCAGAACCTGTTCTCTGCTTCCCCAGAGGTCAGGATGAGAGCTAACATTCTGCAGCTCCAATGGAAGAGACTTCTCTTGAACATTAGGAAAGAAAATGGCCCAGTAAGAGCAGTTTGGTAATAGAACCAGTGGCCTAGCAGGGCAGCGGGCTCTCTGTTAATGGAAGTCTTCAGGCAGAGACTGGAAGTCATCTGTTGGCTTCCCATATCAAGCAGGCAGTTGGACTAGGTGGCTTCTAGGTCATCTCCAACTGTATAATTCTGAGGACTGTTTCCCCCACTTTTCAGTTTTCAGGAATAGGTTGATTCTGGTGAGTCATACTTTTCAGAGAATACACAAGCAAACATCTTGTCCTGAAAGGTTTACCCCAGACTGGCTCCAGCAGTGTCTCCACCCCTCACTCCGCACTAAATCATCAAGTAGCTTGTTCAGCCGCAGAATGAAGTAAGAGAAAGCTGCGGTCATTCCGAGAGGGCTGAACCACTGAAGGTTGCAGGCTGGAGCAATCATTTGTGATTGCATCCCCATGCAAAGGATCAGCTTAAGAAATCCACAAGCAGGGACCTACTGAATCATGGAGAAAGTCTGCAGCCCAGCCCTCTCTTGGCGGTGCTAGCTTTTGACGTGGAAGGAGCGCTTAAAAAAAAATCCAAGGTAGTGTTTAAAATGCAGTTTTCTCTTGTGAATCTTATGGATTCTAGCATTTCACTGGCAGGATGAGGTGATGTGCATTCAAACATCAGAAATTGCATCTGGGACGGCACTGTTTAAGTTAGAAATTTAAAGTGGCTGGGAAGCTGCGATGCAGGAATGGGTTAAGCTCAACCAACTAAAATTAGAGTGGGAGGTTGAGCAGAAGGCCCCTGTGTGCGCAGCTAAATCTGAGAGTCAGTAGCCTGGCTGAGCACTTTGTCTAGGACCCACTTCTAATTAAATTCCTCACTACAGATTCATATTCCAGTGATAAGTAGACTTCTAGCTTTTGAAACTTACTTCATTTTTTTAACTATATCTATGAAATCCACCAACCAGAGTTTGGTGCAAAAGACATACATGTAGAATCAAAGAATTCTAAGCCTGGGAATATGTTTTGAGTGCTAGAACTAACCACATGGCATAGTCCTTCCACACTAAAACCTACTTCTGTTCACCCAAGCTTTTGTTGGGTGAGCAGGGAAAAGTAATTTTATTCCTCTTGTTAAGCAATTGGGAGTCAAACGCTCTTATCAGTGCATTGAAAACCAGCCAGAGATCTACCAGGTGTTTCAACATTATCTTCTGCGCACACCCAATTTACGCATTCTCCCGCTCGCTTGCATGCTTCTGGGGGATGAGCCACGGCGGATTTTCCATTGTGCAAACCTGGATAGTTTCCTGTGGGGTGGAAAACAAGCCCCTCCGAGAAACACAGACTTGTTTTGCAGGTAGCCTCGCCCATGATGGTTTGGTGTGTTGTCCAGGCCCACATGAGCATTGCCGCTGTGAGTGAAGGGAGGCAGTGGCCGAGCCCCATGGGCAGAGTGGCAGAAATGCCCGCGCCACTGACGGCTGCCCCACCAGCGTGCAGGCCGCAGTGACCGTCGCTGGCTGGGTGCTCCCTGCCACGATCGCCACGCCTTTTGCACTTGCGGAAGCTTTGTTGAGCGCTTTTCTCCCCCCAGGTTTGTTTTTTCGACCAAAATCGCGTTTCATGATTTTCAGTGAGGTAGTGACAGCCCTGCAAGGTGCCACTTGGCCACTTTGACGGCGCCATCGCCAGTTCAACATCCTCTTTCCCCCTTTGGTGCAGTTTTTTCCCCTGCATAGCCTGTTTGCAGGGCAGGTTGTCCCGCTCATCCTCAGAGAATATGCGTGGAAGGTGGCTGAGCCAGCATCCTTCAGTGCCCTCAAGGTATCCTGCATGCAGAAGATCATCTGCAAACCAAATGCGCTTGGTTACTGCTGCTCTTGCCTAAGAACATGGGTGAGTAGCAACTGAGGTGGTGAAGTCTTGAGTGAACTTAAAAACTAAATATGTTTTCTTTTTCCTTTTTCTTTCCCCACCCCATCCCTCTGCGCAGGATTTATTGGTTCTGGAAGAGCAAGAGGTAATGCACAAACAAAGGTCTTAAGAAGATTTTTGAATAAATACTGGTTTCCATTTGTAACAATGCTTCCTTCCTCTTGGTAGGCTGTGTCTTTGGGTGTTTTAATGATTATTATTGCATCCCATGATCTCAACATGAGCACACCTTCCTTTTGTTAGAATACGAATGCTGATCAAAATGGGGCACAATGGCGGCCGTTCTTGATAATGCCACTTCGCAGATCTGTCGGGGAGCCTGGTCATTCCCGTCCAGAAAAAATAAAATGGCTCAGATTGCCTTGCAAATCAGACCTACCTGTTGCATGTGGCTCAGAGGAGTTGCTAAAAATAGCATTACAGGACAAGATGCCCCTCAGCCCATCCCCGTGGCATGTAGGCAGGGCTTACTTTGTGGCACAGAGCCCTGCATTGCGAGTATCTCCCCCTGTTGCCGTATCTCCCCCTGCTGCCGGCAGCCAGCAAGACGGAGATGGGCTGTCGCATCATTTTAACCCCGTTTGGGAACATGATGCTTTTTCCAGCTAGTTCGGACTTTAGAAAGGCCTGAGAAGCCGCCACGAACCGCCCGTGTGGCTCCAGCCAGAATCTTTGGGACGTTCCGTCCTGTCTTATCTCACCTTACTTCATCATCTTCCAAAGAACAAATTGGCAGACAAGCCTATAATTGGCCGACGATAAGAGGGAAGCACGTTTTAATTACAGTTGCATCTGTTTCCTTGTACTTGCTCTCGTGTTCTCTGGGTCCATCTATCGCTTTGCTTTGACTTGAGAGCCACAGAAGGGTCGCAGATGGATCTGTTTCGTTAAAGACTGCCGTTAGCCCCCCCCATGGCCCCTTCAGCACGAGCGGGACATTCATCAAAACAATGTGGCTTGTGCCGATGTGCGAGTGACTCACGGGAGCCATCCCGTCTCCAGGACAGAAAGGGAAGTCTGACTGCTGACTGCCTTAATGTCTGAGCTTCTGAAGCCTGGCAGAAGAATAACGGCAGCGGCCCTTAACATGTGAAGTGGAATGTCCAAGTTGAAGCTCTCCCCATCAGCATTATAAGGATTCACAGAATGTTAGATCACCACTTCAGCAAGGAGGGTGCTGACACCCACCTACCCCAGTGCAAATTGGAGTGAATAGCCAGTCCTTCTGGTCTTTGGAGGAGCTGAGGAAGGACAGAATTTAGAAGCCCAGAGTCCTTCCTGAACAGCCCCTTACTCAAAATGAGCACGTCGGACAGAATTGGGCGCGTTACAGCCAGCCAAAGCGTGGGACCTTGGCATCACCAGGTTTCCTGTGCCAGGAGGTGGCTGCTGCAGCTCAGACTGTCTGATCGAGGACTGCAGTGGTAGCGGAAATAAAGATTTGGTGGCCGGCTGACGGGGCTCCCTGCGTGAAACCGGCTGGCCTTCAGATGTGGCGAAATGAGAGGGGAAGGCATGCGTACAAAAGGAGAGAGAGTAAGAAGGGGGAATCTCAGATGCCGATGGAAAATGCGTTGCCTAATGCATTGTGGGAAATAGGTTTTCCTTTATCAGATGCCAAAATAGAGAAAGGTTTTTGTTTTAAAAACATGTGACAGGAGATAAACAGTCCTCAGCAGTGGAGAATGTGTTTTCTGAAAAGCATCAGGCAACAATAAAGGGCTTTCCATAGGTACCTGAGATAACAATTCTTTTTTTTTTTTTTAACTTTCTCTCATTTTTACACTCTTCCCCAGATTGCTTCACTTAACTCCCCTTTGATTGTAAAACCTTTCACTTTGGTTATTTTTTTTTTTTTTTTCTAAAAAATTTTATTTTTTTTTCCTTAGTTTTTTTTTTTTTTTGGGGGGGGGGGGGCTAAAGAAGAATGAGAAGGGGTACCCATATATGGGGAGGCTTGTGGGAACAGAGGAATTATGAGCTGCTGCAGGGGGTTTGCATGTTTATTTTAAACATGGGACGTTTACATTTGTAGGTGAAATAGGGGGAAAACCCAACCAGAAAATCATAAGAAAAAAAAAAAAACAAAGTTTCCTTGAACATTAGACTCTGTCTGATAACAAGAATGAGCAAAATGCAAATACAGGCAAATGCATTTTATTGGCCAATACACATTAGAAAATATTATTATTATTATTATTATTATTATTATTATTATTATAACATTTCTATGCCGCCCCTTGCCGAAACCTTGGGGCGGCTTACAACATGATAAAATACATTGAAATACAATAGTACATAATAAATTAAAAACTTACGAACTAAGTATACAGTGGATATCTTGCTCTCCACCTGTTATCAGGAAATAAATTGAGACTTCTTAAACATCTATTGCAAAACAGTAGCTTGATCGGACTCCGGGTTAAACTTGTGGATCCTCCTGAACTGAATTCCAGTATTGGAGTGGAAAAGGCTGTAGATCATAATTCTGATGCATGAATTTTAAATCCATGAAAAAACTTGAATTAGTTAAGGATATCATTTCTCTTTCCCAAACTGAGAAAGATCATGCATTAAACTCTGCCAGTGAAGACAGTTTGATGTCCTCTGATTGATTTGGACTACAATTCCTGTAATCCATTATCATTTGCCATCCTGGCTAGGCCTGTGAGAATTGTAGTCCAAAATACATTTTAGATTAATTATGCCAACCATCTCAACTATAGGTTGTTCAGGCCAGTTTTGTAAATCAATATTGAAGACGGCTTGTTGGCTCAACAAACCATAGTTAAGATTAACCACAGTAAAGTTGGAACAACTTGATAGCTTGTAATTAATAAGAGAGGACATAAAAGCTTTCAGACGTTCTCTCACAACTGGGTAAGAGAAGCGGGAGCCGGGCTGGGGCGGAAAACGTGAACGTGGAAATGATGACATTGCTGGGATAGAGAGCAGGCTTAAGGCAAAAACCCAGATTCCAAATTACGGATAGAGCAACTCCTTCATTTTCCCAATACACCCTGCATATAATGAGGCAGCTGCTTTCTTCAAGAAGAGCCAGCTTGGCTAAATGCTAAATAAGACATTCTTGTCCCTGTCAGGGCTCTGTCAATTTTAAGTTTGGAATCCTTTACGCCAAAGATGGACAGCTAACGGATGACGAGATGTTCAGCAATGGTGAGTCTGCAGATCTTTCTTCCTCCCTCTGGGTGGTGGGATGCTGCGTTTTTGTGTGAACCACAGAAGAACGTGGTGCTGGTCTTGATTGTCGAGATCTTGCTTGGTTGAGCTCTAGACTAGCCTTCCCCAAGCCAGTCCCCTTCAGATACATGTGACTACAGCTCCCATCACCCCCAGGCAGCAGTGGCCCTGCTGGCTGGGGATGATTGGGAGTTGCAGGCCTACATGGGAACCAGGTGGGGAAGGGCTAGCCTAGACCTACAGCGGGTATCTTTGTTGGCTCGGGGGGGGGGGGGCAGGTTTCCCTGGGGCCGAGCTGCTTCGTAACAGATCCCACCCCTACTAACATCCCCATCCAAACAGGAATGGCACTCATTGGGGTCCCTCTTTTTTGTGTTCCTCTCTCTTTCCCCCCTTTCCATAAAAATTACTTGGCACTAAAGCAGAAACACAGAATATAAAATTGCAAAACCAAGAGCTAGGCTGTACTGCGGGTGGAGAAAGGGAGAAAGCTGAACTTGTAGAAAGATAACCTGGAAAGTAAGATGCAGACTTTGAATTGCAAGGCGAGAAGTGCTGACGGATAGCATTGCTCAGGCGAAAGAAATCACGCCACCCAAAGCATCAGTTCCTGCCATGTTTCTCTGTGTCTCAAATCCCTCCTCAAGATCTACCTCTTGCCCCAGGTTTTTACGCCAACCTGAGCCTGACAAGAAAGGAAGCCACCATGTCTTTCCCTTAGCTTTTCCCTTTTTAAAATGGGGGGGGCCCTTCTGACTCACTCTGTTTCTTTGCTCCTAGGTTTTCATAGGGTTGTTTTGTGTGGGAGGGTGTTAGTTGCCTCCACTATTGGACAAGATTAGCAGAAGAGCTTCCTAATTGGATCCCACCAATTTACGATTTATTTAAAATACTTGCATCCCACCTTGCTGCCTGACAACAACCTCCACCCAAGCGGTTGACAATAAGCGGGAGCAAATAACCAGTAACTCAGAGCAACAGGATTTGTAAAGGCAGTGGTGGCTGATGCGTTTATTTATCACATTTCCATATTGCCCAGTAGCCACACTTCTTTGCGCAGTCCCCCCAAAAGGAAAACCCTCCAGCAGGACAAAACTTAAAAACCTGGGGAACAGTGGTGGACCGGGCCTGCGATATCAGCCGTTGCTGCATTGCTGTTTCCACTGCTGCTCTTTAAAGCTTACATCTGGACCACAGGGGAGGAGACACAGGCTAGGTCAGGTAGTACCAGATGTTTTATCTGCCTGAGGAGACAGGCCGTCTCTTCACACCTCTGGGCAATCTGCAGTTCTTCCAGAAGGCTGGTGAAGTCTCGGGGATTTGTGTAGGATGAACAGCCTGGTCCCCAGAGGAGCTCTGGGACAACACGCCTCGCAGCTGTTTCCCCCACCGTCAAGAATTTGCTGTGGCGAGAGCGGGCCTGAGGAAGGCAGTCTTTGTGGTCATAGTGCGCTCTCTCTCTCTCTCCTCCCCTCCCTCTTGCCTTGCACGATGCTATCCAACGCCGCATTGACGGCGCCACATTCATAACAAGAGACCCGCGCCTGCCAGTTGGCCTTTCCCACCAGAAAGATAAAATAAAAGCTGTGTTTCCATTGTGCACATGCTCCCTCTGTATGAACTCGCGCTTCGTTTTAGCACGTATTCCCAGGCAGCAAATAGCAAGGGTTGGCCAGCTCCTTGGGAACCGCGCGACTCTTGCATGCTTTAGAATCCCCCAAAACAGCGCTGGCACGGAGCCGTCCTGTATTCCTCCAGTGCCTCTGCGTGTCTTGGGGTTTGTTTTCTCCTCCCGTCTCCAAATGAAGACTAGAAATATTTCAACGGCAGGCACTTAGAACATTTTGTGTTTGTATGACTAAAAGCTCTGGCAGGCTCTTAATGCCTTGGTTATGTTTGCAAAGCCAGATTGACATATTTGTGTTCTCAGCAGCCAGAGTGAAAGAAAAATATGAATAGCTTTTCTTATTCTCTCTCCACTTGCCTCAGACTCATTTCTCATGCCTGTTTATCTCATTCTGAAGTGGAAGTTTTTCTAGCGCAACAATCTTCCGTCTTTCCAGAGGCAGCCTGAAAAATAGGGCTTGCTTGAACAATGCTTGAGCCTGTCACCCTGCCTGCCTGCCTTTCCCTTTCTTCTTCGCACAAAATATAACTGGCCAGGACAGGCAAAAGCTTCCTCCATGTTAAGAGGCAAGGTGCCGTTTGGGACCAAATGCGGCATTACGTACTTTCAATGCATCTTCTGTGTTTAACATGCCATTCATTCATTCCTATTATTTTTTTAAAAGATGAAAATAGAATCAGCTGGGGATGGGGGAAAGCTATCATTCCCCAGGCTTACAACTATCTTTCTTTGCCTGCTGAGAAAATCTCTTTTCAGCGCCGTTGGCATTGGAAAGAAACCCTTCATTGGCAAGGCCCCTCGCAGCTGCTTTCTCTTCCAGATAAAGCTGGCAACGTTAAGCACATGTTTAGGGACACAGGAACAGGCCCATGGGAGCTCTCTTGTCCAGCGTTCTGGTCCCACAAGGACCGTCCAGATGCCTCCATGGGAAGCTCACAGTAGAGGCAGGAGAGCAGCGGCACGCTCGTGTGCAGAGGCTTCATCCCCTGCTATGGGAGGCAAGGCTGAGTCACCTCCAACGGGGGAGTGTGCGAGGCGGAGAGGCGTGCAAGTGCTCAGAAATGCCGTCCTCTTGGTGCTGCGCCGTCTCGTGGGCCAAGACGGGACAGGCCGTCTGCCTGCTCCGGCACAGCTTCAGAGGAAAGCTCCTTCGCTGGCGGAGAGCGAGTCGGCCCACGTCGAGAGCTTTCCAATGCAGAGGAACACACAGGCCCGTCCCCCGTCTGCCCCCGGCCCACACGCTCGGATGCTGGGATGGGGAAGCCCAAAGGGCAAGGCGGGCGGCATAACCTGATCTCCACGAGCCCCTTTTGAACCAACCCTGCCTGGTAACTCTGTCGAGGAGGAGAAGTCACTGGTGATGCAAGGTGTGTGTGTGTGTGTGTGCGTGTGGGGGGGGTAATGATCTTTCTGCCTCCCTCTCCCACCCCCCTCGTTTTTCCTACTGTAGAGACCGGCAGTGAAAGCTTTCAGAAGTTGTTGGCTCTCCTGGGGGACACGATCACACTGAAGGGATGGACCGGCTACAGAGGAGGGCTGGACACCAAAAGTAAGATCCGTACTGGGTCCTCCGACCAGCTTGCGCCGACCAATGCGCGGAACCTTTCTGTGTCCCCTGCCTTTGCAGCCTGTGCGCTCTTTCCCGTTCGGTCATGCGCTGGCCCATGCTGCCCCGGGGCCTGGGCCCCACCTCTGCTCCAGCCTCCCAGCCATGCCCAGGAGGCCGTTGGTTTGCAGATCCCATAAATATGGAGCGCTTCCTCTTCCCATGGCTGTGTTTTGCATGCTCATCCAGCCCTAAATGGGGAACGGCTGACCGCACCGTCTTCTGTCCTCCGAATGGTGACTCAGGCCCATGGAGAGGCGGTGCATTCTGCTGCACAAACCGATCTCGCTCCCCGAAGCGGCTGGGCTCTGAAAGACAATTGATGTCCCCTAACAGCAGCAGGGATGTGCCCAGCTACAAAATACACGTATTTAGGCCTCGCGGGGCTTGGAAATGGGTGCACGGACCAGGAAACTCAGCTAGAGGTTCTCCAGAGTTGAAGGCTGGCGCCTCTCCCACATTCTCTCTTCATTTGTTCAGGGTTCAGTCCTCTGGGTTGCTCCCTTGGAGCCTGAAAAATGGGGCTCGCTTGAACCATATTTGGCACGTCTGTCAAACGTTTACCTTCCCAAACTCAGACACCTATGAGCATCCCATGCATGGTGGAAGGCGCTACAGATGCCGTCTCCCCCTCCTTGCCTTCTTGTCCTGCTCTTTGCTTAGCTGGACCCTTTTGCCCACCCAGTGAACGTGTTTTGGAGGGGTAGGGGAGGGGGGCTGCCCTTGCTCGTCTACCCCCCTCTTGCCACCAAAACACGCCCTTTTCCCTGCGGTCTCTGAGTGTGAGAGAGTCCAGAGCTGGGAAGGGGTCGGAGCTCCAGTTCCAAACGTCCCAGGACTCCCAGGTACATAAAATTGCTCCCTCCAGTTCTGGGAATTGGGGGTCATTAATAGTGGATAATAGCATCAGGGGTTGTTTTCTTCTTCGGCAGATAATTCATGCCACTTCATTTGTTGGAAAATGTGGCGAGCCAGCCTTGCTGTACCCGGGGCTCCTGCCACTGCGCTGGGCTCCAAATCTGCTCCAGAAGGGGCTCCGCTGCACAGTGGTTTCGACACACAAGTACCACACGCTTGTTTCCTTCACACCTGCTGCTTGTTTTTTTTCATCTGTGTAGATGACACCACGGGCATTTCTTCCATCTACACTGTCTACCAAGGACACGAGATAATGTTCCATGTTTCGACCATGCTTCCATATTCTAAAGAGAACAAACAGCAGGTATGTGATTTTCCATATCGATTTTTCTTAGTGGAACGGAGGCAGCTGCCAAAGAAAGGCCAGAAGAGACGGAGGAATGTGGCCCTGCTTCAAGGAGGCACATGTGCCAAACGTGAACCTTGAAGGACATCGCTGGGCGTCGTGTGGAGGGCACAGTTGCTAGTTCTGGGCATCGCATTTTTAGTGGGACACTGACGAACTGGAGTGTGCCCAGGAGGCGGGTGCTGGGTGTTTGCTTCAGCATCCGCCTCCTATAAAGACCAGCCAAAAGTGCTGCGTATGGGATAGAAGGTGGAGGGGCAACGTGCGAGCACTCCGCTAATTTGAGAAGAGCTGCGTTGCAGCAGGCGGGACAGCTTTGCTCAGCGTTGCCCCAGAGGGCAGGACTAAAACCCGGGGCAGCAGGATTGCAGGGAAGCAGATGCCAGCAGAGCTCGGCTTCACAACGCTGCTTGGCTGCAGAACAGCCTGCCAAGGAGCTCCTTGAGCAGAGCTGAATGACCGTGGAAGAAGAGAGATGGAGAAGAGCTCCAGCAGAGAGGCTCCTGTTTCCCTCCCTGTACAGATACATCTCAAGTTCCCACCCATTATCTGAAACTGCCCTGGGGATGTTGCTTTGCAAATGTCTCAAGTTTGACATTTTTCCCGGCCCTCTGGAAAATGGATGTACCAACGGAATGTTCTGGTAACTTGGTGTCCAAAGGTGTTGTGCAAACACATGGAATGCCAAGCGAGTGAGTTGCAGCGAAGGCCCCCCTTCTAATCCCAACTCAGTGGAACAGGCTCAGTTGCATAATTTTCGGAGCAGCCTTTTCCAACTGAGCGGCCTCCAGATGTGCTGAGGAGCAGCTCCCGCCATGCCAGGACTTCTTAGCCGCAGGGCATCTGGTGAGGGCAGGCTGTCATGGAGCATAGAAACACAGAAACAGAGCAAGTCAGAAGAGGTCTCCCGGGCCATCTAGTCTGACCTCCGGCTCCAGCCAGCTCCACTCACGACTTGCCCACCATGTGCACGTCCAGCCTATCCTTGACCACCCGCACTGATGGGGCCTCAACAACCTCTTGTGGAAGCCCATTCGGGGTCCCGACTGTCAGGAAGTGCTTCCTGGCATCCAAATTGAACCTTGGTTCCCTGAGCTTGGCTCCATTGGAGCGCATCCTGCCTTCCTCTGCAGGGGAGAACTGCAGGCTGAAAATACCCAGTTCCCTCAGTCTCACCTCATACGGCATCGCCTGCGTACCGGCCACCAACCTTGTGGCCCTGCGCTGCACTGGCTCTAACCTGGCTATATCCTTCCCATAACGAGGGCGCCAAAACTGAGCACAAGGCTCCAGTTGCGAGTGCACCAGAGTCGCATTGGGTGGTAGCAATACCTCTCTATAGAGTGGAGGAGGCTGGGATGGATTTTGCAAACAAAATGGTTCCCACAGCCATGTCCGGTTCTCCCTTTCCTTTACAGGTGGAAAGGAAGAGGCACATTGGGAATGACATTGTCACCATCGTGTTCCAGGAAGGAGAGGAGTCTTCACCAGCCTTTAAGCCATCCATGATCCGCTCTCACTTCACACGTATCTTTTTCCAGTCCCGCGATCCTGGTCCGCTTTTGTGGGCCTGTGCACCTGTGTTTGATCGACGGGTTCCCTCTCCGCTCTTCATGCTGCTTTCTCAATGCTGTTGACAAACAAACGTGCAATTTCGGATTGCACGTTCTGGTTGATTCTGCAGGCTGGTCTCACGGATGGCCCCGGTGCAAACACACAGGGTTTGCTTTCTCGAGGCAGGGCTTAATGATCGCGCCTGAATATCTGAACCCTACTTATGGACTCGCTGCAACTCAGTCTTTTCTCCAGCAGCCATTTTGGGTTCTTTGGAATTTAATTCTGTGTAAGTGATTCATCCTTAGAAATACAGTTTTGGTCACATCTGTGATTCGAAGGTGCATGCCCCAATTCAAAGGGGTACTTTGGTATTTGCATTGCAACGTATCTATCAGTGCCTTGGGGTTGGTCATTTCAGGGTCCCAAAGACATCTGTGAGCTGGGGCCATGCCTGCTCACAGATTTATTTTTATTTATTTATTAAAACATTTTTATGCTGCCCCATTCGCCGAAGCCTCGGGGCGGCTTACAACAAACCAACTTGTAGAGATACACAAGCCGACTTGTAGAACTGCATGCGGGCTGCATGCTTCTTCCCCGCAGTGCATTTCCTTGAACCACGGGACTGCATCTGCACGCTCGAAATACGACCGAGGGCTGGCCACAGGCTCGGTGTGCAGTGAGCTTGCCTTCACTGTGATTAGGTGCCATCCCTGTACAGACTAACCAAGGCCTTTTCCACCCGTTCTATGAGGGCTCCACTAGAAACCAGCCCTTTCCAGGCCCAGTTCAGACTGTGTCCTTGCACCCAGGATAACCGTAGGGACTGCCTTCCTGCAGACCAGCCGGCCTGTGCCCTACGAACTGACGGACGGGACCTTCTCCATATCCCACATACAGTGGAGGTTTGGCGGGTGGAGATGAGAAAGATCATCTTCTGTGTGGCTGCAGCTGAACTGTGGGACCCTCTGCTTCAGCCGTTTTAGCTGCACCCCACTCTTGCGGTGTTTACAGGAATGGCAAAATGCCTCCTGTTCAACTAGGGACTGAGCATGTATTTTTTCCCCCGTGCCTCCATTTTATGTTTTTATTATTCTTGCTGCAATTCTGTTGCATTTTATCATGAGTTTTATTGCTCGTTAGACACCCTGAGTGGTGCATAAGCACCACAAGGGTGGGATAGAAATTTCGCATACATAAATAGATGCATAATTAAAGGAACACGATGAAGGCAGCTTCCTAGCCTCTCTGCTCACAAGGGGACTGATAGGTCCCCCTCTTGTCTCCTTGTCTACATGTCCTTCAGGAGGTAAGCCTTGTTCAGCAAGCTAAACCATGGTTTCGCCATGCCGTTGGGGCTTCAGCCAGGCTTAAGGCTACACATCATGGTTAGCTGTTATCATCTGCTTTCTGCCATACTGTATTTCTGCATCTGCGTGCTGTGATTCCAGCTGTGAAAAAAGTATTCCAGTGCCCATTAGAAAGCAGCCTAATATTCTAACACAACCACATTTCCCTTCTCTGCTCTCCTTTTCGCCTCGATTTCCACCAAAACGGGGATGGGAGGGGCACGATTTTCCAGGGACAAGAGATTGCCAGTGGTGTGGGAGTAGATGCTTTGATCTCCTTAATTAACACCGCAGATATTTTTGCCTTAGTGAGATATAATAAGCAAAGCGATAGTTACAGGTGGGTGTGAACAGTGCACAAACCATTCATTCCATTAATTTGACATGGCATGTTATGACTTTAGCTCCATGTGGTATTGCAGAAAATACACCTGATTCAGGGCAGGGGCGGAAGTGGGAAATCCAAGGCTGGAAAAAAGCAACAAGAATGATTTCCTCAAAGTGGGGAAAAGGAGTAATAAGTCCTTGGCATGAACATGCTTCATGCTTACAGAGTTGCCTGTGAGGACATACTTTGACTGTCAGGACCATATGAAGTAAAAAAGGCATGTTTCTGAGAATACGCAGAGTGCATTTTGGTGGTGATCAAGTCCTTGCAGCCGCTCTCCTCACCCTCTGGAATGTGGTGCCTGTGATTCTTGGACAAGGTGGCTTTTGGACTTAAAAGTGGCTCCAGCACCCTCTGTTTTATAACTGGGAGCCCTCCATCTCTTTCTCCCAGACGGTCTAAAAATAAAGAATTGTCATACTGCATCACTCCAGAAGTTTTCCCTGTCTTGCCATCAGTGCTTGAAAGCTGATTTTTAGTGCGACTGTCTGGTGATAGGTAGCATGTGGAATAGCATTTCCCTCCCCAGATCATCCTGTGTCCTCTCCGCTAGGTTGAAAATCTTCTCGGAGGAAAGCGTACCTCTCTTTGGGCCTCCTCTTCCGTCCCCGCCGGTGTTTACGGACCACCAGGAATTCAGGGACTTTCTGCTGGTGAAACGTAAGTGGAATTCTCCATTTTCAGACTCGGAGCGGTCCGTGGATCAAAGCAGCCGTCTCTCCAAATATGTTGGACTCCAGCTCCCAGTACCCCTGACCATGGGCCTGAGCTAGCTGTGGCCAGTGGGAACTGAGGTCCACCACGGAATGGAACAGGGTGCAGAAGGCCAAGGCTAGAAGAATCAACCTGTTACACAAACGGTTGGTTTCTTCGATAACAAGAGCAGCAACAAACGGTCGAGTTTTCCTCCTAGCATATCCGCCTGTTCCGTGACGCGCGACTTGATGCGCAGCCTTGGGATGAGATGCTGTGCGGCACACTTCTCTCGTTCTCACTGTGCCCTTGTGGCGCTTTGCCCTAATCCGGCTCAGGGCAGGCTGATTGCAGGGGCCTCGTCTCACAAGTGGAAGCTCCCCTTCTTCTTGTATTGGAACGACTGTGGATGCTGGGAGATGTAGGACGGGAGGCGTGCGCACATCTGCCCTCCTTCCGAGCCCCTCGAGTGGGCCTTTGCGAGCGATGCCCCAGCCCTTCTTGTTCTGCTGCATCAGTGACGGGCAGGTGTGGGGGCTCTGAGGGCCAGTTCCAGCCCCTGGACCCTTCCCCCGCGAGCCCGCATTCCATGGGGTGCTGGGAATCCATGACTGAAGGTAGCCTGCAGTGTTCCAGTCTCACTCCCTTTTGAGTCTGGGTCTGGCCATTTCGAGCTTCCGGGCAGCGGGGGCTGCTTGGGCTGCATCTTGCCCACCGTGTGCTAAACCTTGCAAGACGCAGCTCTGGCTGGGGGAGGCAGGAGCCGAGCCCCGCTTCCCCACGCAACACACTCTTCCCGTGTTTGTCCCTCGCAGTAATTAACGGGGAGAAAGCCACACTGGAAACGCCAACCTTCGCTCAGAAGCGGCAGCGCACCCTGGACATGTTGATTCGCTCCTTGTACCAGGACCTCATGCCGGACATGCACAAAGTAAGTTCCTTCTCTCCCGGCTTCTCGGGCGCTCTTCAGCCGGGCCGCACTTGGCCTTCTGTGCAAGCCGGGGCGGTCCCTTAGCCAAGATGGCCAGGTGGCTGGGTGGATGCTGCCCTCTTTGGCAACGCCTCCCTTCCGCTCTGTCCTGGGTGAGGTTGCCGCTTCGACTTCCTCCCAGTCCCCCTCGATCACCACCCTTTCCGGGGCCTCGTGCACGTTGCGTCAGCACACGCCCCCGGAATCCATGCCTCCTCCTCCCACTTCTCTTCCTGCCTCCCGGAGGCGCCTGGGGGAGGAGCATGGTGGTCTCAGTGTCAGAGAGCGCCAAGGAGCACCCAGCCAGGTGTCCTGTGGCAGGCAGACGGTTTCTCCTACTGCCATTTGGTTCTGCCTGAATCAGGTTTGGCGTCTGCCTGAACATGGGGGCTCTTCACTGGGCCTGATTATATACGAGTAGCAAACCCGATTCCCCGGGGAGTCCCATCCATGTGGGAAAACTAGCATATTTCTCAGCGGTTTTTTTTTTTAATAGCTCAGGATCAGAGGCTCTGCATTAAAATGCTAGTGCTTAAATTAATTAATTCATCAATTATATTTATTTAAAGAACATGCTTAACAGGAGATCCTTCAGCGACGTCTTACCCGAGTCCCCAAAATCAGCCCGGAAGAAAGAAGAGGCTCGGCAAGCCGAATTTGTCCGTCTTGGCCAGGTGTGGTGTCCGCGTGCGCATGACTACGAATGAGTGAAGCGGGCCTTCCGGGGCGAGGCCGTGGGGCCGCGGGGGCCTGTTGAGCGGCCAGGCCAAGCACCCGGGATCGCCCCGCCACCACAGCCAGGCGGCAGCCATTGGCCTGGTTTCAGACCCCCGAGGGTGATTCCAGCGGCTGGGCGCACTCTTCCTCCGGTACCACCAAGTCTTCGTCCCGACCTGCTGGGGGGAAGGCAGAGAAGACTGGCTCAGGCCAGCGCCGGTTGGAGCGATCAGACCATCCCCGGGAAGCCTCCTCAGTAGGAGAGTGGAGTGGGGGGAGAGGAGCGGGGGGAGAGGGGCTTGGCAGGAAGAGGGAAAGGTGGTGTCCTTGCCCGGTTTGCATTCTGGTCCCACCCGCCACTGGCATGTGCCCCCCCCCCCAATACGATGCCTCTGAGCAAGTGTGGCCCTTGGTGGAAGAAGGCCTCCTGCATCTTCTGCTGTCGCTCCTTCGGGTTTCAAGCCAGCCCAGCCCTCGGGGGGCCCTGAGAAGCGACGCCAGTGTCTCCGGTTGCCTAGCTTCCAGCATGTTTTAGTCCTGCTCAAGCTTGTCACTGAGCGAGGCCACAATGCAGAGTAGCACATGGATACAAGCAGGCAGGGAGGGTGTCAGGTGGGCGCTGACCGCATCCAAAAGCCGCTTCTGAAATTTAGGTGCACTAGCATCAAGCTGGCATGGGGGGGGGGGTGATAGAGATGGTGGCCCCACGGCCCACTTCTGATCGGAGCTGGCTCTGGATTCGAGGGGGCCCTAAGCGAGTCGCTCTCCGTGGTTCCTCTTGGACATTTGTGGCCTCCCCGTGATTCCCTCGGAAGCTTGTCTGGCTCAGCTTTGCTCTGGGGCCTTGTGGGGGATTGGAAAAGGTGCCTCAGGGCTGCCCCATGCAAAGGTCCAGGCCGGGCATCGGTTGTTCCAGCCCCGATCACTTGCTCCCAATTTCTCAGTTGCCACCTCTGTAGTGTTCTGTATATTTTCACAGCTTTAAAAAAAAGAAAGAAAGGGAAAGGGGGGAAAGGTGCCAAGTCCTGCAACACCAAATAGATTCCGTTCTCCCCATCCAGAAAGAAAAACAAATTAACATGTGAAGTGTTAGAGAAACGAATATTACATCAGGTGCTCCGCAGAAATGAGGCCAGAATGTTCGGCAGAGGAAACAGGGTTCTTTCAGGGCCACGTCACAGGCACGGGCTGTTACCAAGGGATCGGCTATAACAAAAATCAATTTGAAACAAAGGGAACGGGCAGCCGCGGAGGAGCTCGCTGGAGTCTCGTTTGCGGAGAAGGAGGGAAACCACAGTATGTGGGGATCAAACAGAAAAGTGGGACTTGAAAACATCTAAAACCAGACGGCTTTTCTCTTCCACAATTCAGAAGCGCAGGTTACATTCCTTGGGTATCATGAAAAGAGGCAGCTTCCCAGCCTCCAGAGAGAGCCTTCAGCTGATGGAAGGGCCCAGATCTGATGAGAAAGATTATAGTGTTTCTTCTGACGAAATCGAGTAGTGCTCTTAACGGCCGTGCCAAGTGCATTGCCGTAGCTTCCCAGAGGTGGCTTGCTTTCGTGTGCGGAAATGCTTGCCTGTTACTGGCCCGTCGGGGATAAATGCCCAGGGGAATGGTTGGGCTGGGGAGCTCCTTCACCGCAAAACGCCATTAACTCCCGGGACCCGTTCCTGTGCGAAGCAGCTCTGCGGCTGCCGGCGTGGATGGTTTCAAAAAGAGCAAATTTACGGAGAAGGCTAGGTCAGGCCGCGGTCATGAGTCCTGATGGCTTGCTGGAGGGCAAGAGGAGGTCCCCAAGAAAAAGCAACCAGGGAATAGGCCTCTAGGAACGCGTCAGCTATTCGACCCTCCACATTTTGAATTGGCACTTTCCTGCAGCGTCACAATAAGAAATGAAGGCGCTGCAGGGAGGCAGGACCTCAGGCTCCGGGGACAAATCTGCCCCTCCGGGAGGCGTCTCCCGCCTCGCCTCGCCAATGGTTTAGCTGCTCACGGGAGGCGCTTAAAGGGACATCCTACTGGTCGTGTTTGCACTGGACCCTCTTCTTCCCCTGGAGCAGAAATGAGTCCTCAGGCTGAGAGAGGCTCCAGGTCTCCTTGAGCAAACCCTGCGATAAAGGGGGATGCACTGTCAGTATCACATGAAGCATGCCAGGCATCCCTGCTTGTCTTCTCAGAAGAGGTCGTTATCGTCACTAGAGGACGTTTTATTTATTTATTTAAAGTTTTTGTGTGCCATCCCCTTGCTGTATAGCTATAAATGCCCATATGACTGGCACTGCAGTGTTAGGGTTAAGCATTTTATTCCCAATATTCCGAACCTTTAATTTTTTGTGTGGGCTTGTCCCACTCGACAGTAATGTTCTTGACCTTGTGGATATATTCTGATTTATTTATTTTTTTAAAGCTCGCGATAGGTAGAGCATGTGCAAAGATCACTGGCACCAGCGGCTAAAGAGGGTCCCCCTTAGGACAGTGGGAAAGACCCTTGCCTTGCCTAGAGCCTGTGAATTTGTATTGGGTGGGGACCCTGCTGGGCATGTGCAGGAGGGGGCAGGGGTTTCCAGCCGAAAGAGGTGCAGGGTCCGCATTTGTGACCGCACAGGGCTTGGCTCAAAGAACTACCTTTACAGGAAAGCAACCTGTCCTCCTCTCTCTTACTCTCTCTCTTTCTCCCCCCCCCCCTTTTTAAGGCACTCAAGCTCAAAACCATAGTGAGAGGTGACGCCCCAGCTATTCTGGCTACCACAAGCCTTTGCAAAAAAGAGGTGAGTGAACTGCTGGTGGAGGACGCTTGTGCAAAACCCCGGCGTGGTTTCTGTGTGCTGCAGCTCTAGGCCTGACGGGGCAGATGGGGGCCGCCTGGGGCCCGCCTGGCAATGACCTGGTTCACACAACATCATCAACCGCCAGGGCTAATCGGTCATGATGGGCTGTTGCGTTGTGCACTTGGCAGGGGGTGGCTGCTTCTTGGCTTGCTTTCCCATCGCACATTCAGCAACACATGTCCAGTGCTGCGGGGAAAACAGTGCATATCAGGCCTCGGAGAAATGGCTGAGGTGGTGGTCAATCCCCCACTCCCTTTTGTAGATCTCCGGTTCCATGGTAGCTTGTTTCATTGTTTAATCCTCTACAGACAAGTTTCTAGGCCTTAGGGTAGGCAAGGTCTGCTGACATTTCAGAAGTCAGAGAGGTGGCCACACAGGGTTGTTAGCACCCTGCATAGTTCCTTGTCCCTCCCAACAACTAGCAAAGCCAAGATAAATGACACAAAAATTTGCACAGATACATTCAATAGCAATACAAATTAACTTGCATGAGTCCAGTGTACAAAGGCGAACCCGGATCCAGATGCAGTTGGAATCTGGTTCTGGGTTTTCCTTCATGTCTCAGTTCTTCCTATGTCTCGGTCATTTTCTAGTTCTAGGTAGTGGAACAGATAGGAACATGAGTCTGAGAATGCATCTGTTTCCGGCAATTTGTCCATGCCTAGGTTTTTAGTGGTTGTGTTCCTTGAGTATGTCTTTTTCTTTCCTGGAGGAGAATCAGGATCCAGATCCAGGTCAGAATCCAATTCCAGGTTTTCCTACATATCTGCCTTTTTGGTCGCTGGGGTCCTTTTCTAGGTTGTCTTCAGTGTATGGAGGTGAACCTGGATCCAGATCCAGTCAGACTCCAGTTCCGGATTTTCCTCCATGTCTCAGTTTTTTCTATGTCTGGGTCATTTTCTAGTTCTAGGTGTGTGTGTCGGGGGGGGGGTGTTAATACAGATTTTTATTTCACCGTATTTAGCATGGAGTACAAAGGGCCTTGGCCTTGTCTTCCCCAGTTACTCCAAAGGGGAGGGTTCTGCTCCTCCGAGGAGAATGCAGAGCCACCTCTGCCCCCCGCCCCCGTCCGAGCAGTGACAAGTCCTCTCTGCCCTCTTCCCGCAGCCCTGGGAGTCGCAGTGCTTCTGCAGCAACTTCGCCCACGACGTCGTCTGTGCCGATTCCTGGGGCCAGTCGCTGCTGGTGTCTACAGACGTTGGGGTGCTTCTCTTAGACGGTTGGTACACGGCCTCGTCCTGTTGGGAGTGGCTTGGCACTGCGGCTAAATGTGCCCGGGACCCATTCATTCTGAACCATCTCGAGGCCGTTGGCAGCGGCCTCATTGCTCCCTAAGGGATCAGCTCCGCAGTCATGCTGGAACGCTTCCCCACGCAGGTGCCTCCTACCTGTAGAACTCTAGCATGGTAGGAGCACAGCCAAACGAGAACCTTCTCCCCCACTTGCTAGCTTTCCGTGATCAAGGAGCTTTTGCTACAGATAAACATCCGAGGTAATTCCAGTCCAATCCGAAACCCGGCCCAGGGGAAACGAGGATTTCTATGAGGGAACAGAATTGGCTTTTCTGCGGAAGGGTCAGGTTGGGAGCTAAACGGATGAGCAAACCTACGGTTCTCTGAATCATCCGGCGCCAATTGAGGTTGGAGAATCTGCCTTTGCTTTTTGCTAGAACCAACAAGGCCCAAAAACTAGGGCCTGGCACAAAGGATGGAGCTTTAGCGTGGAAGGACAGGCTGCCTCTGAGCCCGGGACCTTTGGTTCAGAACCAGAACTGAGTGGAGGTCATGGTCCTTCCACACACAGGCCCATACCTAACCACCCGACTGTGCCTGGAGATGATCCAAAGCGTGGAGCCAGAAACTTTGCTGATAGCACAGAGCAGTCCGAGATCTGCCAGTAGACGTGACCACCGCCCGCACCCTCCCCCCGTTCAAGAGGGCTTCCTAGAAGGTGCGCTTGGCTAGTTGCCACCTACTGAACATCCTTGCTCTCTCCCTCCTAGATGGACAGCCTTCCCTCCCTGTGTTCGACAAAACGTTGCAGGTGAAACAGATGCACGTGCTGGAGACTTTAGGTCTTCTGATTACCAGAGCAGACAAAGGTAAGGAGCATCCTGGGGCCCCTGGGAGAGTAATTTAGTGGCCTGCCATGTTGTGAGCTAGTTTGCAACAGGAGGCGAAGGGAAGTGTCATTTGTATATGTGCATAATAACGCTCAGGATCAGAATGTGCGCACCGTTGCCCCTGTGCTGGGGAGAAGGGTCTCTCCCCCAGTGCCCATCCCAGAGAAGGGATCCTTTGATGCCATCCTGGCTCAGGGTTGTTTCTCCCAGGCGCCTGGCCCAGTCATGTGTCCGCATGCAGGACATTCTTTCTTTGTCGGACGTGTCTGTCTGTCTGTCTGCTGCCTGACAGGGAAGGATGCCCGCCTCCTCGTCTTCCGGCTGAGCGCGGTGCGGAAAGGCATAGAAGCCAGGCAGGTCAAGAGCAAGTGCGACTGCAGAGAAAACAAGCTGGAGAAGACGAAAGGTGCGGAGGGAAGCGGTGCTCGGGGCCACGGCCCTCCGACGCTTGGGAGCTGGGTCGCCCCCGGGCCTCCCTTGGGCCCCATTGCTTTGCTGCTCCTTTTATTCGCTGTCTCTGGTCCCGCCTCTCTTGCTCTCCCTGTTCCATCCCCGTTGCTTCCCCTGTTCCCACTCTCTCTTGCCCCCCCCCCCCGATCATTTTCTTTCTCCTCTGGCCATGCGGGCACCGTCAGCTGACCGTGGAGGAAGCGAAATGCCCCCACGGCCCACGCAGAAGTGCAGCAGGGGCGCGGGAGGGGAGGCACGGCATGTCTTCTTCCCCAGCTGCAGCCTGGCGGTCTTCTTTGCTCATGAGAGAAGCCTCTCTCTAACAAAAAGAAGCAACGGGCAGTCCAGCGCAACGCAGTGCTGGCGACTTGGGAGGGGCCCTGGTGGCTGCAGCGAGAAGGGCGCAGTAGTGCTCTGTGTAAGCCCAGGGCCACATGGCTCTGGCCCTCCCCTCCCCCACCCATTGGTATCCCCAGCAGCTCCAGGGGAACAGACAGAGGGGTGGTCCGCACCGCCAGCACCACCAAGCAGCGAGGGAGGCTGGCCCCGGCCATTCGCCCACAGGGTCCTCCGGTCCGGGTCCAGCAGCCATGCTCCGCCGTGGCCGTCCCCTCCCTTCCCCCGAGGCAGTACTGACCTTTGGGAACGGCCTGCCGGGCCACGCTGAATGCCGGCCCACCTCTCTCGCCCCAGGCTGCCACTTGTATGCCATCAACACGCACCACAGCAGCGAGCTGCGCATCATCGCGGCGATCCGGAACAAGCTGCTGCTCATCACACGGAAGCTCAAGCACTGGGAGGGCGTGAGCACCGCCCCTCCGACGTCTCCTCAGTCAGAGTCCCCCGTGGAAGAATTCCAGTACATCAGGGTAGGTTTGAGGTAAAGCACTAGCACATTACCGTCGCCCACATCCGCTCGCTTCTTCGGAAGGGGTTTGGGGAGGAAGTGCCAGCTGCCGTTCGACATGCTAGATCCATAAGACTTGCCGCATCCTTGAGGTCTCCCGGAGGCAGAGGATCGCGAGCTCTTAGGGGTTGCCGCTTCTGATATGCTGGGGGGGGGGGGCACGCAGGGGAGGGACAGTCTGGCGGCCCCAGATGCTGCTGCTTATCATCCAGGGGGCTTCCAAGAGTGAAGCAGTGGCGCCAGCAGGTAACTTTGGAGCCTGAACTGAGCTCCCTGTCCCGCCCCTCTTTGGCGCATTGCTTCGCTTGTGTCACACCGTGGGAAGCTGGCCTGCTGCGTTCGGGAGGGCCCTCTGGCTCATCCTGCTGGGCCGGCCCACAGCACCCCGGCTCGAGCCAGCCATCCTCTGGCCAGCACCGCTGCAATCGGGAAACGCTGGGGTGATCCTTTGGTAAGGGAGGCATGGGGGTGGGGGGAAGGCTGGCATCAGCTGGTGCACCTGCAGCGGTTGCTGCAGCTCAGGCGAAGGGGGAAAAGACAAGCGACGGCGCTGGGCCAGGCTGTCCGGCCGAGGGGGCAAGGGGCTCGGGGTCCTGCAACAGGCCAGCGTCAGGCCCAGGGAATACGTCTGGCCTGATGGATAGATGAGGAGGCAGGACTGGGCGGCAAGGCGGGCGCAAAGGGTACACTGGTCACGCAGGGGAGCGGGGCCTTTTTAGCACGGTTCCCTCACCTGCTCTTCCGAAGCCCCTCCGTGAAGTGGTTTTCGGAAGTGCTCTGTCTCTGGGCACGGAGGGCCTGCTTGGACCTCGTGGTCAATTGCCTCGGACAGACAGACAGATCCTCCCCGACTTGGGTGGGTGCCTTCCCCGCAGCCCGCCTCTTTTGGTCAGCCCTTCCCCTTGAGTCCTTTCCTTAGCTCAGCGCTCCCACTGAACCTGCCTTCACTCCAGAGCCCCGAACGGCTCAAGACCTCAGACGGGCGCAGCTGCTCTTGTCCACGCTGGCTCGGTGTCCCCCGTCACGTGCCGAGTTCTTCCCTGAACGCCCGCAGAACGCCGCTGCCCCGGCCTTCTGCTCCCTCCACCTGAGCGCTGGCTCTCTGTGATTTAGGAGATCTGCTTGCCGGACCCGCCTGTGGTCATGACTTTGGTGGATGGCCCCACAGGAGAAAACGACAACCTGATCTGCGTCGCCTACCGGCACCAGTTCGACTTGATCAGCGAGAGCACGGGCGAGCCCTGCAGGTTGCATCACGTCGAATCGAGCAGGGTAGGTTCTCGGGCCGCGAGGGCACAGGCAGAGCTAGCCCAAGTGGCCATTCCGTGTGCCTGGCCTGAGGCCTGGGCGCCGGCTGAGCGAAAGGGGCTGGGGCCACGTCCCAGGGAGCCCCCTGCGCACCCCGTGGCGCACTCAGGACGTTTCAGAAGAAGCCGGCTCCCGGCGACCGCATTGGCCATTTTTGCCCCGCTCTTCTCGGGCGACCGTGAGGGCTGTCAGTAGGCCGGATCTGGTGCAGCTGCATCTGTGTGCCAGGGAAATCTTGACTAATGGCAAGCAGAGTAGACGCACCTGCACCCGCAGGTGTTTGCCCACCTGTATGCTCCAGTGATGGAGGTGAACCATAACTTCTGCAGCCACACGCCGGGGCCTCGCTCCCCAAGGTGCAATAAGGGGGCGTGCACCACAGTGCATCCGGCAGGGACTCTCGCCTCTCGGCGGGCTCTTCTCTCTCGCACGTCGGGTACCTGGCTGTGCCAGGGGCACCCCAGGGGCACACGGTTCTTGAGGCAGGTGCCCGCCCCGAAAACTGGGAAGGGCCGGGGTGGCTGGGGAAGGAGTCTGGGCAGTCCCGAGCTGGCTCGCAGGGCAGAGTCCAGCCTCCAGACGTGCAAATTAGGCTGGGGCGTGTGTGGTATGCGCCTCATTCGTGCGTAGAATAGGTAACTCCATCAGGGAAGGTGACCGGGCTGAGGCAGGTGCCGGCACGTGGCCGTCCTCGTGGGTCAGCGGGAACGGGGCAGGGCAGCCCTCGGCGTGTGTGGGCAGCTCGCCCTCCAGCCCGTCCACTACCCTTGCCCGTTATCATTACAGGTTAATTTTGTTGCAGCTATTGATGTGTACGAAGACGGAGAGGCCGGCCTGCTCTTGTGTTACAACTGTAAGTACCGCGGGCTCGCCCTGTGGAGGGAGCTGGCCGGGCGTTTCTCTCAGGCTGCCCGTGGGCTTCCGCCTCGCGTCGGCCCCGCAGTTCGGAAGAGGTGTGCTCGGGGCAGAAGGGGCCCTGGGGAGGGGGAACCAGCCCACAAACACCGGACTGTCTGCTCACTGCACGGCATTCTTTCCCACTCCCGCTGCTCAGGAACGCCTGGCGGTGGGAAGGCACCCTCTTGGGCTGCTCCAGGTTCAGGCCTTGACGCACTGGATGCAGTCGCTAGGCAACCGCTGAGTGTTCCCTTCCATCCCCTCTTGGCCTCATCGAATGGGCTGCTTGCCAGGCATCCTCCAACCGTCACCCACCCTCTTCCAGAAGTGGCAGAAGAGCCCCTAGAGGGGGGAATAAGCCCTTGGCTTGAGCAGGGAAGTTAGAGAGTCCTTGAACCCGCTAGCTGCTCTCACCCGCATTTCCAGTTCTGGTGAAGATGCGACCGAGCAAAGACAAGATCCCTCAGCCCAGCCCTCGGGGTCGAGCAGCTGAGGCCCTTCGCACAAGGGTGGCCAGCCTGGAATGGGAAAAAGCTGGGCCCCTTCCAAGGGCCAGTGAAATAGTTGGCCACCGTAGATCTGTGCTGTTTTCCTGTCTGGTGTTGAGGTTTAGATCCATTTCCCATGTGAAGTAACGGGAAGTCTCTCATTACAGACGTCTGCTGCTATCGGAAAGTGTGTCCCTTCAATGGGGGCTCGCCTCTGGTGCAGCCGTCGGCATCCGACTTCCATTTCAGCTGGAACCAGGTTCCTTATGCGATCGGTAAGAAAACAGGGTGGCCGGCCGGCCCCGGTCTGGGGCCGTGGGCTCAGAGTCAGCAGTCCTGGGGGAGGCTTATTCCTGGGCACGCTGGGCCTGATCACGTTCGTTCGGCCCCTGCGGGCAGCGTGGATGGCAGGCTGCCCCGTGTTCGGGAGGGCGTTGGAGCAGCCTCCCCCAAGTGCTCCCCCCCAGATGTGTCAGGCTGCAGCTGTGCTTCCAACACCTGGAAAGCCACCTTGGGCCTGGTGGCCAGATGCCCGGGCTTATCCACCAAATGGCCCCTTGTCTCCCCTCCCCTTGCAGTTTGCGCCTTCCCGTATATTTTGGCCTTTACCACCGACTCCATCGAGATCCGGTTAGTGGTGAATGGGAACCTCGTCCACACAGCCGTGGTCCCTGCGCTTCAGCTGGTGGCATCCAGGGTAAGGAGCCCCGGGGAGGCCGCCTGGCTTTTCACGAAAAATGCTCGCCCGTCGTCTGAGCAGCTCTCCCAGCAACGCAGAACTGGAGGAATCCCCTTTTGTGTCAGGGCTGCCGCATCTCACTCAGCCCGAGCCAGCCCGGGCCGTGCTGTCTGGGGACGATGGGATCTGCAGTCCAGCCCGTCTGGAGGCTGTCAGCCCAGTGAAGGCTGCTTTAAGCCGCCCATCAGTGGGAATGGCGGCAGAAGGCTCCCGAGCCAAGTCCTGGGTTGGCTGCTTGATCAAGTCGGCTGGGCCATGAGGCTGTGCTCCGTTCCCGGGCCCCGTGCACAGTTGCGCCTTCTCAGTAAGCCTTGCTCCCACAAGCCGCATCTGGCACGCTACCCCCGAGGTCTTCCCCCCTGTGTGAAAGACATCTCTTCTAGGACGAGGCCTCCAGCTAAGATTCATGCACAGCCTTAAAAATACAGGGAATTTGCTCTCCCCACTACCCATGTGCCTCGACAGAATCACTGTTTTCTTGGCTCTGTTCCAGATCTGTTCAGGTCGACATCCTATATACATTTATGACAGAGTAAAAGTATACAGTATTCATTTACCAGGGTGTGTGCCTAGGAAAAGTACTCTTTTATTCATCCATTGGGTGGTATTCAGCAGATCTTGCTGCATTTACTCAGGAGTAAACCCCCTTGAGCAAAGCAGGACTGATTTCCCACTAGACCTGCATTAGGATTGCTGCGTAGCATTTTTTGTTTATTTTTTTCTCATAAGCAAGCCGGCAACTTGAGTCTTGGGTCTGCTCCAGCAGAAGAATTGTGAAATCAACCCATCAGAAGCAGAGATGCTGGGAAAGGAGTGGGGCGGTGGCAGGGGAGGGGTCCTATTAATAGATCTGTATAAGTCCTGTGGAGAAAAGGGGAGAATGCTTGGCCTTCATCCAGAGACTGTCTTAGGAAGCTCTTTTGCTAAGTTAACCTTCTTTCTCCTTCCAGTCAGACATCTACTTCAAAGCTGCCACTGCCGTCAGTGAACCATCCAACATCAGCTCAAAGGAGACCAGCTCGCCCAACTCCCCTCAGACACCGTCGGTGCATGAAATTCCTGTTTTCTCCCCTTCCACAGCAGAAGGTAGGGTAGTGGTGGGCCCAGGTGGTAGCTTACTACCTTTGGGGAAGGTCTTACGAACACGACTTGCCTTCCACCTGTTCAAGACCTGACATCCACCTTGGATCACAAAGCAACAATATGAGAGCTTCACCTTTGATTCATGTACTCGCCACTTTATGTTTCGTTACCGAGATGTACCCATTTCTCTCTCTCTGTCTGCACGGCATGATCCCTGATTGGCTGGGATCTGACCGAAAGACGAACAGGGCTCATTTCATAACTCTCGGGCAAGCTTCTGTGGGTACATTTTTAAAACACTTTTGGCTGGTCACACAGGGATAAAAACTGTAGTTGCTGCAATTCCTCCTCCTATACAACCATTGAAAAGCAGGACATGCATCTCAAAAATGCTCTTTGGGGTGGGGAAGGCATAAGTGGTAGGGGCAGTTGGCCCAAACCTCACCCATGGCAGGGCTCTGGATCAGCAGTGCACTCCGAGAAGAGAAGGCAGCTAAATCACACTCGGTAGTGTGGAAAACGCCCCTTCCTTGTTGTCCAGCATAAGGTCGAAGGAAGGCCAAAACCCATTGAGCGTGAAGGCAATGCTGCTTCGTTCCTCCGCAGCAACGTCCACGCACAGGCCCCTCTGGCTGTGCAGCCTTCTGGCATCATTCCCTTTCCTGCAGGATCCGCAATTGGCCATCCTGGAAAAAAAGACCTCTCTTTTTTAACGTGGAGAATAAAGGAAAAAGGAATCACAATATTATAGGCATGCAAAAAGTTAATATTCTCGTTGAATGGGGAGGACTGAATAATCCGCCCCCCCCCCAAGAGTGCTATTTTTGCTTGCCCAAAACGAAATAAAAAGTTTGCACGGCCTGCACAGGAGCGACAAGTTGTCCTTTGCACGTCGCTCTGAGTCACTCTTCCCTTTGTCGTTTTCTTTCCCCTTAAAACCCACTCCGGATTTCTGAAAGTGGCCGCTGCAGGCCACCCGTTCACAGCCCAGTCGGTCTGGAAGACCGTTGAACTAAATGTCGCTCAGGGGAGCGTGCCAGAGGCAAAACTCTGCTTCCGTCTCGCCAACTGGTCTGCGTGCGCTTGCTTCGCGGCGAGTCAGTCAGGTGCTCCAAGGCATGGCGGCAGCTCGTGAGCGCTCCTCCCCCTGCTCACCAGGCGCGATTAAAAGCAGGCCCCAGGCAGGCAAAGGAGGACGCTTTTGCAGAATCGCCCGGTGGCTTGACAGTGGGAGAGCTGAGCCAGAGGCAGCGATCGCGTGGGAGCCGAGAGCCTGTGACGACACTTGGCGCGGGCGAGCGAGAAGCGTGCTTCGCCCTTCCTGGTGTGGAGAGCATCTCACGCCTGGATGAACCACGGTGGGAGACAAATGGGCCTGAGACCCTTTGGGGTCAGCCGAAGGGCAGCTGTCCCAGGTCCACGAGGCCCCAGAACAACCAGAAATCACCAGCGTAGCCCGTCGTGGGCAGCCAGGCTACTACAGACTTGTTGCGTCAGATCACAAGGTCAGCTCAGCCAGCTTTTGTTCTTGGTCTTCCTCTTCCTTGTTGTTTCAGGGGAAGCTTTGTGCAAAAACATTTACAAAATCCCCCTCAGCAACTTGGTGGGCAGGAGCATCGAGCGGCCACTGAAGTCCCCGCTGGTCCCCAAAGTCATCACCACCCCAACGTCGGCTGGCAGTGCCTCCATCCCGGGGGCTCCCTCCCTCTCTTTGTCACGCATCGAGATCAAAGAAATAGCGAACCGAACACGCAAGGAGTTACTGGGTAAATCTTGCAAGACGCAGCAGGAGTTTCCGCATCACGCCGTGTGGCTTTCCCAGAGAGAGCTTGCCGGCCAGGTGTTCGGAGACGGTGCTGACTCCTGTCTCAGGAGAAGGCTTCCCGAGCTGCTGCTTAAAAACGAGAGCTTGCCTGTCGCTTGCGAGGACCGCCGCAAAAACTTTCCATGCCTTTAAAGGCATCCAGTGCGAAACAGACAGCCTTAACGGGCACAAACTCCGGCCTCCAAAGAGCCACAAGCCAGTGTTGGCGCGTGTGCTTTGCACGCAAAAGTTCCTTGGTCTCTTTGCGCCAGTTTAACTCAGCCCTTCGTTCAGAACCAAGAGGACTGGGACCTTTCTTTACTTCTAGGTGAGGGATGACACCTCAGTGGTAAAGCACCAGGATCACAGAGCAGCAGCACCGTTCAAAACTCACGGCGGCTTCAGCCAGGGCCCTCGCCCTCCCTCTTACGTCAAGCTAGGGAAGGCCTGTGAGGCTCTCCTGGCCGGGGCAGAAGGGCTGGGGGTGAGCCAAATTCAGCCCCCCCGCCACCACAACGGCTGCGTGATTGTATTTCACCACAAGCATAGGCTTCCGTGGGGGCTGCTTTGGGCCTGTGCAGCACATGGAGTAGCAGCGTGAAGAAGCAGGTGCCTTCTCTTCCCCTTCCCTGCGAGATCCAGAATCTCATTTCCGTTATGCAGGCCTCTTAGATGAGCCGTCCCCCAAGTCGGAAGGAGTGCAGAAGAAGCAGAAGGCTCCCTCAAAACTGCCGGACTCCAAGCAAGGAGCTCTTCGGTCCACAAGCAGTGACAGGTATGCAGAAACCAGGGCCGATTCTCCAGCAGTTCCCTTTCCGGTCTGGCCTGGTCTGGTCTGGTCTGCCCTTCCCCTTCCCCTTCGGGGGTCGGGGGGAAGCTGTTGGGGGCAGGGAGCAGTTGGGTCAGGGCTGCAAGGAAGCCGCATATGCCTTTCTTCCCCTGTGCTATGGCCCTGATCCAGATCCCTCACACGCTTACACACCTGCAAACACCCCTGCAGATACTGCCAGCTGCGGAAGGAGAACCCTGCAGCTGCAACCCTGCTGGCTTGCAAGCTTTGTGTTCTGGAGAGAGTGAAATCCGCCAAGGGTGGCAGAAGAGGGTCTGGCTGTAGCCCCTGTTCCCCAACATTCTCCATTTAGTGGTCAAAGCAAATCTCCCCCCCCCCAAAAAAACTTGCCACATGCCCGGCTTGGCCTTTCGTCAGACCTCTGGGCAGTTGCACCTGAAATCCCGCTGCAGTGCTTAACGCTACCCTCCAAGTTCCATCACGTCTCCGTAAAAGAGAGAGGGTGCATGGGAGGAGGTTCCCAGAGGAAGCGGCTCTCTGAATTACCCTTTGATACAAAGGAAATAAAATAAATACGCAAGTGGCGGGGCTGAGGCTTTGGGCTCCCGCACTGCTCCGGCCTCATTTCTGCCTTCCCCTCCCCAGACTGGCTGCAAGCTCTTTTGAAAGCACCTCGGAAGGACGTCACTTCTCCACCAGTTCAGACCCCGACACCACCACCCAGGACGAGACCCCTCCCTCCGGCAGCCTCTTCCAGCTCGGGGCTTCCTTCGACGAAGACATCATCGACCTGAAGTGAAGACAGTCGGGACGAACGCAGCACTTCCATACATTCCCCCCTCCGACCCTCTCCAGTGTTTTCTCTCTCGCTCTTTCCCCGTACTTTGTCTGATGCTCGAAACAGAGTAGGAACTTCACACCACACTTACTAGCAATCCCGGAGGGACACGGCACAAACGATCCGACTCTGGAATGCCCGACATTCCCAGCTCGTTGGGGCAGGCAGGGCACGTGGTTCGGGAGGAGAGGGTTCTTGCTTGAATCGTGGCGCTGTCACCCAAGGAACGAAGCCTTCACGGGTGGATCAGATAAGTTTGGATCAGTGGCATCAATCTCTGTACATCTGCACGTGGCGAAAACAGTCTGTTTCGAGGATAAAGCTGGCTTCCGGGGCCGGGTGGTTTCTCCCCACCAGCACGATCAGCTTATCCGAGATCGGCAGCCTGGGCTGAAGCGGGACATGCGGCTTGCGAGGTGGAGGGCGTCAAAGCAGGACCGGGGCTTCCTGCAAGAGGGCGGGAGCGTAGGGCGCTGCTGCAGCCAGAGGGGAGAGGGCGCCCTGTTCTCTCCTGTATCACGAGGGGGGCAGGAATAAGTCCGAAGGTGGAGAAAGGAAAGAGGTGGTAAACCCCCTCCCGACCCGGAGCAAAAGCGATTCCAGGTTTCGGCCACCTGTCCTCCCAGCAGCTCCAGCCCCCCATTTTGCCGTTCTCTGTGGTGGACAGTTGGACAGGACCTCTGTGGCGTCAGGGAGCCATGGCTTCGGCCCCAGTCCACTTGGGGGTCACGAAAAGTGCAACCTTGTTGTTTCTTGCTGGTGCTTGGGTTTTAGAGGATGCAAGAGGGGAGGAAGGGGCATGGCCCTCCTGAGGGAGGTGTCCAGCGATTCGGGTGGCGATGGTGGAACGGGATGGAGGACTAGAGAGGCCTTCCGTTTGATTCAGCATCAGGGCGCGAATGTTCTTAGGTCTAATTAGAAGTCAGTGACTTTTTTTTTTTAAATGCATTGCCCAGTTGATTATGGGCACCTTTTCAGTTGATTGAAAGGCTTTTAATCACTTAATCAGACTAATTTATTTAAAGGTTGCAGCCCTAATAGGCTCTTTTTAAATCTCTTCTAGCTACTGTAGCAAATACCCTGGGTGGGTTTTCTCAAAAGTTCATTTCCCGTTCTCCAGTCTGAGTGCATTACAGTGGGAGGAGGAGGTGGAGGCGCGAATGCCGGCTCCTTCCCCACGGTCATTACTGCTCCTACCCTGTCCCCCCCCCACCCCGCCCGAAAGGGGTCGGGTGAGCCCATAGCACGGCGTCATCTTTCTCTACTCCACAAAAAGGCTGAAAGCCAAGAGTGTCACTGGCCGAGCAGATGCCCCTTTCCTTGGCCGTGGGACTGGAAATGCAGGTCCCGACGGGCTTAAAAAGCTCTCTGGGTCCCAGAGAAGGGCTGGAAGCAAGAGCTGAAGGCCCTTTGGACAAAGGGTCGCCCGTCCCAGGCGCGGGTGCTCCTCCTCCTCCTCCTCCTCCTCCATTCTGCCTCCGCTGCGTAGACCTTGCGGACGTTTGCTCTTTGCGCACTTGTCAAAATGTTTCCCCAGAGATAACGCTGGGGCAAAATGAAGGGGAAGTCTCTCTCCGACCACTTTCAGTCCTGTCAAAGAAAATTATGGGTTTTTGTCTCCCTGGTCCCGTCGCCTGGTTGAAACCGAATCTTGCGAGTGGAAAGGTGACACGGCAGGGGAAAGGCATGCGGGAACCCTTAGATGCTAGTTCTCCGCCTGCAGGGGAGGTGCCTGTGCCACCGGGGAGGCGCTGAGGCCAGGACGGCGGTCCGTTTGCTGATTTCTTGCTCCGATCTGAATGTTTCCTCTCTGCCAAGTAGTTGTTTCTGACTCGTTTGCCTGCACAGACCCAAATAGCGAACCGCTTGCCCCACGAGGAAGCCTGTCTGCTTCTGGGGATTTTTCTTTCATTTCTCAATAAACGAAGCAATACCGCCATGTGGCCAAGCACTGGACTCGCCCGTGCCGTTCAGCAGGGCGTGGGCACGTGTGGAAGTAGCTGGGAGACTTGGCTTGCTGTGCAGCGATCGCGTTCATTTCCAAACACAGGTCATGTCCCTGGCCCTCGTGAGCGCGGGCTATTTTTGTTTCCAGGCGAAGGCAGTGTCTGCTTTGAGACTAGAAGCGGGGTGGGTCCAGGAAGGGATTCCAGCGGGCAGGTGGCACCGTTTCTCGCTCCCGCTTGTGGGTCCCACGTTCCACCTTCCTTTCTCCTACCTCCTTTGCCCACCAATACTCCATGAGTCCAATTCCTTTGTCCCTTCTGTAACACAAATGCCTTATTTTTACTACTACAACAGAGCACTCAAGCCGCCCTGGCGGGGAGGGTTACACTGAAAAACCGCTGGACATGGACACGGCGTCCGGGGAACCTGGCCTCCCGCTCGCGAATTTTGCTGCTGCCTTAGCTCAGTGGACGGACCTTTGCAGAACAACAGGCTGTTCAGAGACACGTGGGAAAGGGGGGGCAACCTGGCGAAGGCAGGGCTCGTTCTGGGGGAAAGCGGCTGCATGGCAGGAGGCAGTGTGCGCAGCTCTGCCACTCCGGCGTCGGCTGTGGCTGGTGGCTGGTGCCAGCACCCAGCCCGACTCTGCCCAGGCCTGGTCTGTGAGTCCCCGGAGCACGATCCCTGCCTGGCTGCTTGGAATGGAGCATGGACTGCGCAGTGTGGGCCTCGTCGACAGCCAAGGGAGGAGGGCCGGCCGTTCCCAGCAGCTGCTCCCCGAGTAGGGCCTTGGCTCTGAGGGGCACTGGCCCTGCGGCCAGGCGGGAAAGTGGGGGCAGCGGGTGGCCGGGCAGGGAGTTGTGCTGGCTGCTTCAGACCCTGGCAGTGGCGGCCGGCTAGCTTTGCGACAGAGCCTCTGCTTTGCTCGCGGAAGGGCTCGGTCCTTGGGGCCTCCAGCGAAAGAGACAGCTGTGCTCCAAAAGATGTTGGCAGCACGACGCTGGCACTTCTGCCTGGATGGTCCTGGCCGAGAAAGGAAAAACAGGTCCGTTCGTTCCTCCTTCGCCGCGGCCTCCCTCACTGCACTTCCCAGGCAGCGGCATTTCCCTCCAGCGCATGTGTGCATCGCTCTCTCCTGGGGGCTTCTCGGAGGTTCTGCCGGGAGGTTCAGCGTGCCGAGAGCGAACCTCCTTTGCCTGCGTCGCCAAGCAGCCGGCTCCCCTCTTCCCAGTGCGACGCGCATGAGCCTGAGCCGCGTGGTGCAGCTCCAGTGCATGCCGGCCCTCCTGCCTGGTGCCGCCAAGCTCATGCGTGCGTGCATGCGTGGGTAGAACGCTCTGCGGTGTGGAGAAGCTGTGGCCACCCTTCCCCAACGTGGTGCTCCTGCCTCGGTGTCCTGGACTGCAGCTCCCACCATCCACAGCCGGGCAGAGTGGTCACTGCAGCCAGTCTAGTCTCAAACCACAGAGAGCCAAATTCTTGGGCTCTTCAGGGCGACCCGTGTCTCTCTCCTACGCTGTGGCTGCCTTGCCTGAGATGCTCCACAGCTGCTTGGACTCAAGACATTGGACCTCCTCTTTAGCCGGTGCGGTTTTGCATCCATTGACTGCCCGTTCTGTTCTTCGGATGTCCGGGCATGTTGACGATCGGGCGCCACCTGGCTTTTGCTCTCTGGGCCTGCTTCTGCTTCAGGTAACAGTGGTGTTTCCCCCGACTGTCTCGTCTTCCATCGCGCCCCTCTCATTCGGAAAATTGCTTTTCCGATGTGGGACAGACGCCTTTGCTGTGGTGGGCGGTCTGCATGCAGCTGCAGCTCGGCTCCGTCTCGCGCCGCCTTCCGTCCCTGGCCCCCTTGACCCCTCTCTGCATGCAACTTAGGGGCTGCAGTGAAACTACTGTGAATGTGCTAGAGATCCCGCTGTTCCAAGCATGTGGGGGTGGCCTGCAGGAGTCCGGGGCCTCCAGCAACCACCCAGCCCTTGTGTCCCCTGTTCCTGCGTCCCGCCACAAATGCTTTTGCGTTCTTCATTTAAGGAATGTGGCTTTTCCGGTGGTGGGTTGGGGGGGAACAGAGGAGACACATGCCAGGCCTGGCTTGCCCCACAACCCGTCCTCCACTAAGATGTACTGTGTGGGGCCAGCAGGTAGGCCTGCCGGCCCAGTGGCATGGCCAGAGAGGGGTACCTGGTCAGAGCGAGCTTTCCCAGGCAAAGAAAATTCATGGGGAAGGTCAGCAGCCGGCGAGGTGAAAGCCACGGTGTCTTCATGAACGTGCTCAATGGTTCGAATCTTGCTTGGGGCCAGAGCTTGATTGGAAGGGGGGGATCTTTTTTTTGTTCTTTTAAACCCTTTTTTCATGCAGCTGAACCTGAGGGACTGAATTGGACTGAGTCAGCAGCATCCTGCAGTCATTTTTCTGGTTACACTCGCACAAACGCTGGCAGGAGCAGGGAGTTACTCCAGTGCTGGCCGAATATTTTCTGCCACGGGGCTAGTAGAGAGAAGTTTTCCATTGGAGAACCAGGGTGCCCTTTCCTGAGCACGGTGGGGTGAAACCAAGCCACTCTCCTGTAGCTGTGACACACACACACACACACACACACACACACACACACACACACAGAGTGACCATGCCCAGCAACTCCCAAGGGTAATAAAAGTGGCGCAACTTTTGGGGCGGTTCCAAGAAAACCTTTGTCGCATTGTCAGCGAGCGCTAAAAGTGATGATGGTCCTCACCCAGGGGCAGCATTGCGGCAAAGCCGATGTGGCACAAGCACCGCCCCACTTCCATGTGCATGTGCCTGGCAAGACCCCCCCGCCACCGCAGAAACGAGGGAGTGCTGAAAGCCCCACGGAGGGGCTGGGCATTCTTCCATGCCCACTGAGCTAACGTGTGCCACTGATTATCTCCTGTGTGGAAAGGTGCCGTCCCGGTCAAATCGCATCTGCGCACGGCTTTTCTTCACTGGTGAAGGGAAAGGAGGGGCTTGATTGCTTGGCCTGCAGTGGTGGCTCAAGAGACCCTTATCCCCAGCGCGGTTCTAAGGGGGAAGTCCGCTGCTTCCTTCTCCCTGCTCTTAGTCCCGTCAACCTGCTCTTGCACATTAGTCCAGAAAACCTCTACTTTTCTGCCTTGTCTTCCTCTTCAAAAGCAGTTTTGGGTAGGCGGAGGGCAGGCATCCGGGGCGGGGGGTCTCTCCTCCAGCAAGAGCAGCGGCTGCTCCCAGACCGTCCACTGTTGCAAAAGGATGGGCACCTTAATGCCAGCAGGGCAGGGTAGCCCTTGAACGGCACGCAGCGAAGTTGGCTTCTGAAGCAGCATCCTAAGGCCATGATTGTAGCATCAAGTCTTTCCCCTTCTCTCTCACTCACGAGCGCATCCGGTTCCCTTTGCATGTTTGACCTGTTTGAGCTGCTCCAGTGCCCTGAAACATGCATATTTCCCCACGACATTTCTGTGTGTCTCAAGTGAGGTTTTTATTTCTTAAGAGGTGGGGAGGGGACAATTTTCTGCAGGTCTGACTTCCTGATATTTATTAAGTATTTCTCTCGCCAGATGGAAGGCACTCCGATGCTAGCGTTTGTACAAAACAGTTTGTTGTCGACCCTGGTTGCTTGTTTCCCCTAATCCCCTCGAGCAGAATCCAGCACAAGTTAGTCACCCCGAGAAGTTGCCGTGGAAGGCCGCCCGCCAGCCGCGGGGGCCTGGCCCTTTCTGGGGCTTTGCCCAGAGCAGGCAGAGAGGGGGACTTGCTTCTGAGTTGTCTTGGCACTTGCTCAAATCACGAAGGTGGGGCGGCGCATCTTCTCGATGGCCTCACCTTGAAAAAAGGATGATGGAGGGACACGATTGCTCAGAAACCGAGTCAAGGGTGGGGTTTGTGTGGTTCATTATCCCCCCCCCCCCCAAATCTATACACTGCTGGGACTCAGTGCAGAGTAAACAAGCATCGGGTCGGACTGTAAGCACAGGTAAGAGACGCCCCTCGTCACAACCAGGGCTCCGATTTCAGCGGAAAGGGCAGGCCGAGTCCCGGCTTCGAGCAGCCGGGCTCCCCAGGAGGTGGCGTGAGGGTTGCAGCTACACGGGACCATCCCATGCATGTTTACTCCTGAGGAGGCCCCAGTGGCATTCCACGGAGCTCCGCTCCCCCATCCATGTGCATAGCACTGCAGCTTTAGGCGTATGCCTGACTTTGGCTGGATCGTGCCCTTTGACTGTTACCTGCTGGGGTTTTGTACTTTTCAATGATTCTGTCCTGTGGGGCTGTGGCTTACCCTCTTGTGAGTCTCAAAGTTTAAATTATACCACCAAGTGTCTTAAACTCAAGTGTATTGCCATTGTTTTTAAATGCTAAAGTAATAATGTATTGGTTTTTTCCTCCTCTTTTTTTTTTTTTTTTGTGTTTTCAAATGTAGCCTGTAAAGGAAAATCGAGAATCGAGATATGAATATAATGGCAAAATTCTGTTCTGCAACTTCCATAGATCACAGCTGTAAAATGGACTGTAGGTTCTTTTTCGCCTTCCTTGTTATGTAATAAATATTTATGATATTTCATCCCCCCTCCCCCCCTCTTGAGGTGCGATGGTGGAATGCTTCAAAGCCAGATTTAGGCTTCCCAGCCCTTGGCTCCCTTTTGGTTAGGCCTGATTCAGCCATCCTTAAAAGAGTCAGTAATCCGTCTCCACTCCGTGGATCCACTGAAAGTATGACTTAACTCTGGATCCAACCCATCACATCTCTCAGACTGGTTGTTCTTTACAGGCCCCTGAGCAAGGGCCCTCCAGATGGTGTGGACTACAACTCCCATGATCCTCATCACTGCCCATGATGGCAGAGGCGTTCTTAAAGCATGAAATTGCAAACGGTTTATTCCATCTAGCACCATCTGGACAGACATCCCTCTCATTGGTTCTTTATTGCACAGAAAATAGCATAAACTTTTGAACAGAAAGCCTTTTGAGCAGCAGTAACAGAATTAAGTGTGTTCTATCTTATCACATGCCGTTTTTACCTTTTTTTTCCTTCCTTCTTCATTGGAGTCACCTTGGGGTACAGAATCATGCAAAATGAAACCTCAGAAATGAGTTTAGCAGCATCACGAATCATGGAGTATCTCCATGGGAATGGCTAGATGAGGTCCTTTATCCACCGCTTAGGTGTGCTGTCAGTAGCTTTGAAGTCAGCCCAATATAGACAAGGCACCTTCAAAACTAGAAATACCAAAAATATGACTCCTGATGATATACGCGAACGAGTCCAAATTGGCAGTGCAAGAACATATGTGCAGTGAGATCCCTTCAGTATATCTGTGCTCAATTTAAACATAATTTAAACATAAAGGAACTATACACAGTCTGTACCCACACAAAAGTTTCAAGTATATCACTCATTTTTAAAAAAATCACAAGCCCATTGATGGCTGTTCAGCTGAATGGAAGTCCTTCTCAGAGATAAGAACAACCACAAAACAGAAGAATGCAGGGGATTCCCCCCCCCCCCCGAATTTCTCTGGGGGGAAAAGTTTCTTTCAACGTTTTCTCCTTTTTCTCTCTCCCACAGTTCTAGTGCCCCGCTCATCTTGTAGACTTCCAGGCCTTCAGCACACAGTACAATGTCTTTTCAGCCGTATCACCCCTTTTCAAGTTTGATAAAATACACACGCTATTTGTTTAACATCATTGCCGAGAGCCATCCAAGGCTAGTGGACTTCTAGCCCAGAAACAGACTGAGATGCTTGAGGAAGCAAGCAAAACCAGAAGAGGTTGTTTTTAAGCCTTGATGGTTTTACCTCATAGGTGGTGCCTGCAAAAGACATCCAACCTTTTGGACATAAATTGCATTCTTGATCTCATTCCAGAGCTTCCGGGATTTAAAAACGTTAAGGCTGCTACACACAAAGGGAGAACATTTACACCAAGAAAGAAAGATACATCGAAGGAAAGAACAGTAGCATCAAGGGGCAGAGAGAGTCATGGAGGATTCGCTTAGAGTACCAGTTTTATTTGGCATACGAGGAAGAGCATCAAAGAGAAGGAGTTAGATAGAGACAGAACGGCACAGACTTGGTAAGGGGCAGTGCAGATGGGTGGCACTGGGCAATTTTTATCCTCAGCTAGATCACTGTTAGGCGTGTAGAACAAGACACATTTTACGTCGTCTTCCTGGTTCTGCCCCTGCTGTCACTGAAGCAGGACGGGTGTTCCCATTAAACAAGACTCCTTTCCTGCCTAGCCACAACCCCGTGGGACCCTAAAAGCCGGCGCACGTGTCCCCCGTTCAATAGCAGTAGCGCAGCAGCGCGGTGCGGCAAGGTGGCATGGAAAAGCAGCCCGAATGCAAATGGAGGATACAGGGAAGGCACTGACGCGGGGACAGTCATGCCGCACATTAGCCTAACTTGAAGGATGGAAGGAGTAACCGTGCAGTGCAAACATTACCAGTTTCAGTTGCTCGGGCACCCATCAGCCCCAGACAGCATGGCCAGCAGGGACTGGATTTGTAGTCCAGCGAGATCGGGACTGCCACAGGCTCCCGGCAGAAGGACATGCCCTGTTGACAGACCTTTTAACAGGGTCCAGAGGAAAGGGACAATTTAATGTGGACATTTGCGGCCCCATGGACATGCCTAAGAAAGCGGAGAGGGAGGCTAGTGGTTATAGTTCATTCTATTGAATTTTAAGTAGGCTTTCTTTGTCGTTCACCTCTGCCCAAAGTCTGGACGACTGGAGCAGGTCGACTTCTGAGTGCGTGAATGAGTAAAGCCGGCCGGCCTCCTATCTCGATGTGTAAAAGGCCTAGAGAAGCTCTCCTGCTACGCTGGACTAGAAAGCATTCCCAGGCAGGATGGGGCAGAGTGGCCAAGCTCCTTACCGTTTAGCATAATCGTTTGAAAACGGAAAACACAGTGAAAGAGCTCGATCTATTCCCTGAGGGAGCCGGTCTGTCTGCAGGCCGTTTCACAGCGGCGGGCACTGTAACTCTGGAAAGCTCTTCCATTTTAAGGCAGCGCTCAACCGGCACCCTTCAACCGGAAAGCACCGTGTGGCCGATGCCAGTCTCGCAGAACTCGCCACGGCTTTCTGCACGGTAAAACTGTGATGGGCTTGCCATGCAAAGCACCCTGGCCCAGACGGTTGCCCGTTCCCGTACTGGTTCGAGAGAAGCTGAGCTGGCCCTGGCTGGGCCGCGCCACCAATCAGTGTGCCTGGGCATCTCCTTGAAAAATGCAAGAGTCCCGTTTCCCCCCCGCACCAGCCAGTACCACCACCAACACCTTGGTGAGCTGCCAGAGGGGCAGATTGTCCCCGGTAGGTCCCGGCAGCTAGTGTGATCTCCGGAAGTAAGCCTCTATCTCTTCTAAGCTCTTCCCTTTCGTTTCAGGAATGCAGAAAATGGTAAATATTATGCTGAGGAGGCAGGTGCCAGAGAACAGCCAGAAAGTACCGTACGGTGTTAGAAGTACCTGGACGAGAAAGAGAAATATATGAGTAAAAGCGGAAGCTAGGCTCTGGGATCGTGGCCTCAAGCAGCCTCACTGAGGTATTCGGTTTCTGCCTGGCCTGTGGCTGGAGGCTCGCTGAACCCCACTTCACCGTGTCAGTGGCATCCCTCCCTCTGGAAAGGCAGCATGTCAGGGCGGCAGTTCGGGGCAGATCACGCCGATCGCTTTGACGCTGCGAAAAATAAAATCTAAAAACAAGCACAGCAAATCAACCTCCCACACCTTGGCACCTTCCAGATCTTTTATACTTCCATTCCCATCAGGCAGTGTAGCCAGTGGCCAGGAATGGTGGGTGTTACCGTCTAAAAGATCTGGATGGCACCAGGTTGGGGAAACACAGGATAGACTACACCAGTCTAGATGAACCAACCACCTGATTCCCTTAAGAAGGCAGCTGCTTACCTTTTCATATGGACTAGAAACCTTTTAAACAGATCTTTTCAAATAAAGCAGCAAACAAAGCAATATGTGAAAAAGTACCAATTAAAACAGGCAAAGGAAACAAAGCTGAAAGGCAGAGCTGTAACACACCCTCCCTTTGCTCCTGAATCTCCTCAGTTTACAGGCAGGACAAACTCTTACAAACCAAACTGATGTGATGCTTGCTTACCATGAGGTCGTGGAACCCTTTGGTGATCAGAAAGGCCATGAGCCAGTTGGTTAGAACAGAGGCCCCGCTGGCAACCCCTCGGGCTCGGAGAGGGAAGATTTCAGACATCACCAGCCACGGGATTGGGCCCCACCCCAAGGCAAAGCCTGCAGGTGGCAAAGGAAGGCAGCTTGTTCTGAACTGGGCAGGACAGATGTGAACCCGCAATCCTATTCTGCAGCCAGGATGCTACGGCACAAGCAGAAGCCGGCCCTGGGACTCTGCCCCAGCCTAATTTCAAAAGTCACCTGCAAGTGATCTGCTTGGGAGTCGGGTACCCCCTTCTTCACAGGCGGGGTAGAGGAGGAGGACCGGGAGAAAGAAAAGGGGCAGCAGAATGAAATGGCCCCTCCCACTAAAATTCTGGCCCTGCCCACTACTCATTTGAGCTCCGCCCATCCCTTGGGCCCTTGACGGAAAAGACACTTCGAAGCACAGGCTTTAAGAGGTCCACCCCTGAGGAAGCCTAGCTCCAGGGCCAGGCATCCCTGGGCATCTGTCTGGGCCCATCCCTCCGCAGGAGCCCCCGCCCTGCAAGACCTCCCCACTGCCTCCTGGGCTGACCACCCTGCCTGGGCAGGCAGGCAGGCAGGCGAACGAAGGCGGGAGCTCGGAGGCGAGGTGGCAGTGGTTCCTTGCCTCCCAAATTCTTTCTGGGGTACGGCACAGACTGAAGTGAAAGGGAGCGAGGAAGCAGATGGACAAAGCGACAGCGAGGAACTGGTGGGAGAGAAGCTGGGCTTCTCTGGGAACACGACAGCATCCCCCAAAGAGATCCCGAAAACCTGGCGCAGCAAGTCTCCCCAGCGGTCACTGGCTGCCAGCAAACGGGTCCGTTCGTTCGGCCTCAAATTCCGGCACCGAACCAGGAAGAACGGCAGGCCCTTGGCATATGGGCCCGTCCCCACTGCTGTGACGGAAGAAAGCCTCCAGCACGGTGGGGCAAGTCCCGCCAAGTCACAGCTTCTAACCCATGTTGCTCAGAAGCCCCCAGGGAAAGCCCCCAGAGAGGAGAGCCCCACACAGCCCTCCCTCACCCATGATGAAGAGGCCCATGCTCAGCACCGCCAGCCAGGCGAGGCTGTGCTCGTCCGGGACGGGAGTCGGGTCCAGAGGGGAGCTCAGCGGCTTGACATGGGAGGCGTTGCTCGGGCTCGGGAGCATCATTCTGAAGTAGAGCCCGAACACGGCAGCGCTGGCAGCCATAATGAATCCTGGGACCATGGAGAGAGAGAGACAAAAACATCCTCTGCTGTATTGTCTGGAAGCACAACACTCTCCTTTCCGCACCGTGGGCATTCCAGTAGTTGGCCGTCAAATTCCAGAGGGAATGAGTGCCCCCTTTGCTCGGATAGGCGCATCACTCCCTTGCCCCTCAAGCGATCCTGGGGGGCATTTCCAAAGGGAAGCAGGCCTGCCAGCCCCACCCTGAGGAAGCCGTGGCTCAGGCGCACTCACGGCAGCCGGGAAGCGCCTGCGTCCGCCTCCTCCCACGGAAAGGGGAGGCATCCTATGCGGGAGGGGAAGTGGTGGGGCCCTTTCAGCACAGCAGCGATGCTCTCACGGGGAAGAGGGCAGGAGTGTGCCCCACGTTGCCCCAGAGGGGCAGGAGGGAAGAATGCCCCTCGCAGTGGTAAAAGAGCAGCTTGGCCCAGGGCAGCCGCTTGTTCGGGGGTGCCCGGCCTCCGGATTTCCTGCACTGAGCAGACATGTGGGGAACCTGCGTCTCCCCAGATGACGTGGCAAGCCAGCTCCCAACAGCCAACTGTTAGGGATGATGGGAGTTGCAATCCCAGCTTACAGTGCCGTGAGCCTTGTGCTTCAAATCCTTCAAAAGGCACCCTTGGTCGAGAATGAAGCACCCCTCGAGCCTTCAGAGCAGAGGGGCTGTTTATTTCTGCAAGAACACGTTGCCTTTCTGGAACTCGTATCCAAAGAATATGGAATGCAACTGCTTGTGGCTTTCCACATTAAAGGAAGGTATCACTGGAAGGGCTGAAGTCCCACACCCAATAATGGGGGATTGGGCATACCTGATATGACCAGGAGGACTTTTCGTCCCGTTCTGTCAATGATAAGAGCAGCCAGTGCGGTGAAAAAGACTTGGATGGAGCCCACGATGACAGAAGCTGCACTACTGTTCTGAAAAAGACGAGACAGAAAGAGGAGTAAGAGATGTGAAGCATTAGGAAAAGGATTTTAAAAATGGGTTCCAAACCAGTTGTTCAGCAGGAGCACACCCCACACGGCTGCTCCGCCACCTTAAAGCCAACAACACAAACACACATGTGACCCCCAACATTACCCTTATTGCTCATCTGTTGCTTTCAAAAGCTGAGGACAGAGTCTTAAATTATTATAAAAGGGCTCTCCTGCCTGTTCAGAAGCTTTGAGTGGGAAGCCCACAGCTCCTCCTGTCCAGGAATGGGCAGTATTCACCCTCCACCCCAATCGTAGCGCCCAAGCTCCTGCGTGCCTCGAGCCGCATGTGGCATTTCACAGGATCAGGGCCACAAGCAGCTGACGGCTCACCTTGAAGTTGGCTGCCTCAAATATGGATTCCGCATAAAACATGATGGCATTGATCCCGGACACTTGCTGGAAGACCATCATGGCGACGCCGATGATGAATGGCTTGTAGATGGCGGGGTTCTTGAACTCGGCAATGCTCAGCTCCTGCTGCAGGGGGAGATTCCGAGAGCGATTTAACGACAGCCCTTTGGGCGGCAGATGGAGAAAGAAGAGCGAGGCTTAGAGGCGGCGGCAGCAAGAACAGCTACAGAATGAAGCGCTTCCTGACCGGGATTCCGGCCTCCTCCCTCCAGACCCCCTGCAGATTTCTGTTCCAGGACAACCTGGCGGCTGGTGAGCGTAGGCCTCTTAGGGCCTTTGCTCAGAGGCTGTTTTCCGCAAATCCTTGCTTGGTGGGTCCCGAAAGCCTTGGGGTTGCAGCAGGCCCGCCTCTGATCGCATTGGTCTCTTAGCCCCAAACATCCGAAATGAAGTGGCAAGAAATCCAGCGAGAGCATTCAAACAAGGAAGTGCCCCAGTGGATTAATCGCAAGTAGTTGCAGATGAACCAGCCGGCCAACTACAGTCCCCTTCTGCTGCTGCCTCGCTTCCTTGTCCCTGCAAGGGGCCACCAAACACGTCCAGGGCAGCTCCACATCCGGAGGCTTGGCGGTCCTACAAGGAGTGTTTGAAGGGATTTGACCATGTAGCCTGGAGAAGGCCTGGGCCGGGAGAGGGCAATAGTACCCGCCCTGAGGTGCCCGTCACACAGAGATCAAGGAATCGTTTTCCGCTCCCCTAGAAGGCAGGTCGAGATCAAATGCGCTAAACCAGGGAGGAGAGCGGATTCCCGTTCAGTGTCAGAAGAGACTTGGCGGGGTGGGTTGGGAGCGTGTGCCTCTTCCAGCACAGGAAGCTGCTCAGGAGCTCCCCGGCTCTGGACCACTTGGTGCCAGCGGCTTACGTGGCCCTCTCCAACTCTGCCTGTCTACGGAAATGCTCTTCTGCACTCAGCCAAGGAATGCAGCCCTCCAGGGTGAGCCGGGGGCTGGCCTGCAGCCAGCACTTCATGCCCCAAGAACACAAGGGGAGCCCCGGAAGGCCTACTAGAAGCCGCTTCCATCTGGCGCCCTCGTCATCACCACGTGCCTGGGAATGGCATGCTCCCCGGCACCCCAGCGCTGCTGCAGCCCGAGGACAGCCCGCCCCTCACCTGCTCGCCGGCGTTGGCTTCGATCTCCCGGCACTCCCACTCGTGGTCCACCAGGGGCCCCCGCAGAAACTGCAGCGCAGCGATGGCCTCCGGGCGCCGGCGCCGGCTCAGCAGGAAGCGGGGCGTCTCGGGCATGAACACCACCAGCCCCAGCATGCAGCAGGGCAGGACGGAGCCCAGCACGGCCAGCCAGCGCCAGCCCAGCCCCGTTCCTGGAGGGAGCAGCACAAGAGCAGAGGCCGTGCTGAGCACTGGGGCAACCCGCGGACACCGCAGGATCGGAAGGGGACGTGGAGGAAATGCCGCGCTCAGGGCAGTCTGGAGATCTTGCGGCTCCCCGTCCCAGCAGCCCCAGCACAGGCAGCCCAGGGCCAGGGATGGTGAGGAGCACCGTCCAAGGCACGGGGTCCACCAACTCCTTCCGGCCAGCCCTAGCACGCCTGACAGAGAGCTAGTCAGCCCTGGTTGAGATGCTTCCAGGAGGAGACACCCTGCTGGCTCCCCAGGCAGTCTCTCCCACTGCCAGCAGTTCTTCCCCTCCATCTTCACCGTCGAAGGGCCTTCCAGGGCTCTGCACGTGTAGCAGCATCCCCCTCTTGGTTCAAGTCCTGCTGTCGGCTGCCACAGGGAAGCGCCTGCTCCTCCTCCTCCTGCAGCACCGCCCTTCCGATATTTTAAGACAAGCCTCCGAGTGCCTCTTCTCCAGGCTAAGGCATCTGCTCTCCCAACCATTCCTCCAAGGACAGTTTCCTGCCCTCTCCCCCTCACTGCCCTCATACCCCCAGTTTGTCAAAGTTCTTCCGGGGCCCAGAACGGATCGCGGTCCTTGGCCTGGTGGGTGGGGTGCAGCGTGGGACTAAATGAAGCAAAGTGAACCCCAAGGGGGTCCAACCCCCCCCACCCCCCCTACCCAGCCAGGGTGTGGCTCAATTTAGTGGTCCAGCAAGGTGGGTCAAAACTGATGAGCTGCCCAAGGACACAATACAGCAGGTGCCGTACCTGCCACATAAGCTCCCAAGATGCCCGTCACCACCATCAGCTGAACGCACGATCCAAGCATTCCTCGGACCTTGGAGTGGGCTATTTCAGAAATGTATACCTAGGGCATCAAAGCAGGAAGAAAGTTCTGTTTACAAGGCAGTCAGAATGGGGCGGGAGGAGAAGCACCTGAGGCAGAGACACTGGTGAACCTGAAGCCCCGGCATCTCCAAATTAAAGGATGGCAGGGGAAGTAAACAGAAACCTCCTGTGCCTGAGACCTGGATTGCTGCTGTTAGCCTGATATCATTTGCACTCTCCCAAAATGGCGGCCACAGTGGGCACTGCCAGGCACACCCTGCCCATTTCCCAGATGGCAAACCGGGCAGGCAAAGAGGAGAGTAATCCACCCTCAATCCTGCGCACCAGGCAGAAGTGAGGCCCGAGGTGCAAAGCGCGGAACGGCTCTTTTGAACCCAGTTTTCAGCTCCTTCGTGCATTTCAACAGAAGGCAAAGAAACGATGCTCAAGGACACAGCGGACAGAAGCAAAGCGCCCCCCTTCCTTCCTGGCTTCCTTTCATCTTTTCCTCGGGCCACCGGCCATGCCTCAGAACAAAGCACCCAACTTTTTTATTTCCTGGGGTTGCAGCAGTTTAGAAACGACTTAAAACCTCAAGTGAAACCGTTAGGACAGGCAGAGAACCAGATGGGTACCCAGAGAGGCATCAGGCGGAAATTTGGACCCAGGAATGCAATGCTGGGACCCCTGGATTCCACAGTAGGCACTTCGGCTTTTACTCCCTACAGAACTGCAGTGACGGAGCAGTGCCGCCGGGCTCTTACCGGAACCACCAAGGACGTGACGCCGCTGGCTAAGCCGCAGAGCAGCCGACCCGCATAAAGCATCCCAATGTTCTGAGCGGAAATGATGGTCAGAAAGCCAAACACGTACGGGACCGCACAGAGTAGCAGGCTGAGCTTCCGGCCAATTTTATCCACCATGTATCCCCCCAGAATCCCCCCAGCCGCAGCGCCCAAAGTGACGATGGACTGCAAAAAGAGAAGAAGTCAAAATGAAAAAAGGGGAGAAGCAGTTCTGCAAGAGGGGCAGTGGAGCGAAAACTACCAGGGGTGAACAGTGCCTGTTCAGATGGTAAGTTCCTTGGGGCAGGGAGCTATGGATTTTGTCCACGTTGAAGCAAAATCGCCATACGGACAGAGGGCACTGTCTCAGTGCCTTAGTACATTCATACCCAGCATTCATTAAAAAGGTTAGGGTAGGCATATATAGTTCTCGTTCTCTCTCTCTCTCCCCGCTCCCACCAGCCAAATGATTTTATCCTTGCAAGAGCCCTGTGAGGCAGGTTGGGCTGAGGTCATCCAGTATACTTTGTGGCTGGGCAGGGATTTGAATCCAGCTTCGTCTCAGCCCCGCTCTCTCCGTCACTGCACCATGCCGCCAGGCGGTGCGACCGAAAGAGGTCTGAAAGACCAAGGGAAGCAGATTCTGGCTCGCTTCCCAGGCCTCACAGCTCCACAATGGAGAATTCAGGAGGTTTGGGGGACAGGAGAGCAGCCTCCGTCCTTGGCAGTATCCCAGTCGCACTGTCCTGCCCAGAGCATCCGAGAAGGCCTATGGCCTGCTCCCTACTTCCACACCCTTCATCCTTCAAGTTAAGAGGGTGGCGATGCCAAACATGTCCTTTCTGAAGGCTTTCTGAATCCCAGAGGCTGCCTCCAATTCATGCGGTTTGGGGAAAGAAACGGACACATTGTTCACCCAGGCAGCTCCGGAGGCCCCCAGAGCATCTTCTGGCCTCTCCAGGGAACCGATCCAGCCCCAGATAAGGAGAGCCTGAGCTGTCCTTTGCTTGCTTATGTTGTGCATTCACATTTCTCCACCACGCTCAATCAGCCCTAGATCAGCTTTGACACCAGAGGTTTAATCTAAAGCGAGGAAGGACGCATGGCGGTTCTTCCGGCAGTTCCTTACCCCAAACCAAGATGCTTGGCTGTCTTCCAGCCTCAGTGCTGGGTTCCCGCTCTTCTTCAGGCTCGGGATGGCTGGAGAGCTGTAACCAAGGACGAAGCCACAACTGAGTGGTCCCAGCACAACCGCAAAGGCTGCCAGGTAGACATTCCGGTTTTGGACTTTGCTGCAAGAGAAATAAGAATGTGGCAGAAGAAGAAAAGAAATACCTTCTCTGGGCAGAACTGCAGCGAAGCAGAGCAAGGAGAGGCAGAAAGACGGGGGCCGTGTGGGGAAGGGGGTGCGAGAAGTGGGCATTTCAGTGTCGAGTAAAGCAATGCACCTTTGGCCGAAAGAAGGACCCACCCCACCCCATCCTGATGGGGTCCGCACTGAAGGCGCTCAACTGGGGTCAGTCCAGGTCTGAATCGCGATGACTAACCAAGAGTTCGAGGGCCTCTTTGTGCATCGGGAATAATGCTCTTTCCATCACACGTGGCACACACAAGTGGCAGAAATACCATCATGCACTGCCATGGAACGGGCTTCCCCGGGAGGTGGTGGAGGCCCCATCGGTGCGGGTGTCCAAGGACAGGCTGGACATGCACATGGTGGGCATGTCAAGAGTGGAGCCGGCTGGAGCTGGGGTCAGACTAGATGGCCCAGTAGGCCCCTTCTGACTCGCTCTGTTTCTCCACTTAAGAATGAGGCATTTTTTCCCTCCAAGAGTCATACAAGCATCACATTTAAACTTTCTGGGCAGCAATAATAAAATCGGCTACTAGTCTGCCACACTGGTGAATTTTTCTACAGGTGTTAACTGGCTTTCTGTCCTTTCAGTCTTGATGCAGAACCAAGATCCAAAACCACACTTGGATCCAAACTGATTCTTTCCTGCTGTTCTGCTACGTAACCTCCGGGGGGCACAAGAGCAAACTGGATGTTCACAACTGGACACTGAATTTTCTGCTCCGGAAAAAGTTTGCCGAAAGTGCTGGTTACATATAAAAGCAAACCTGGAGTGTTGCGAGGTTGTCTAAAGAACCCACAAACAATCATGAGTTGGAAATGACAAGTGTGGCTCGCGTAGAAATGCCCAGCATCACACCGTGATGCAGCAGTTGGAGCAGAGGTGAACACCTGCCTCTTTCCAAATGATGGCAGATCCCATCAGGCCCAGCCAGCAGGTAGGGTCCATAGCATCTGAAGAAGTGAAGCCGGAAAGGTGAGTGCCATAGACCAGGGCTGGGAGAGAGCCAGGTTCAAATTCCCACTTGGCCATGAAGCTCACTTAGACTAGCCTACCTTACAGGGCTGCTGGGAAGATAAAACTGAGGGTGGAGGAAGAGGAGACCCATATATGCCAGTCCACTTTTTTGCAGGAAAGGCGCAATAGAAATTCACAAGAAAGGAACAGGTCACTGATATCTGCTAACTTGCCCCAACTGCTTTAAATGAAAAGAACCATGTCATACAAATAATTATATCTCCCCAGCCCAAGACAGAATGCACACCTTAGATAGACGTCCAGTTGAGACGGTCTCTCAGGGGCAGGCAATTCTCCTTCTGCTGCAGTGTCCAAGAGTGGGCTGGATTCCCCAGAAGCCATTTATCCTGTCCACAAACCGAAGGGGACAGTGCAGGCACACTTGGTCTGGAGCCTTAAAAGCATGAAAAACAGAAAGCTCAGGAGGAAGAGGCAAAAGAAAATCACATGACTCCAAACAATTTTGCTTCCTCAGACAAAAGCTGCAGTGTTCCCTTTCGAAAGAGGACTACAGCTGACCAGCTGCTGCCATACCCAAGAAAATGCACACACGAACTCGCCTGCAGGAAAATGCTGTTCTAAGCACAGGCTAAAGGTCTCAAAGCAGGGATGTTCTGCAATTTGGCTGGGTCTTGAGCAAAACAAACGTGCATGCAAGGCCAGCGTGGGACAAAGAACAAATCTACTCTGGGTCCACTTTGGAATACTGCATGTAGTTCTGGTGGACCCGTATGAAAAAAGATAATTTATTCATTTAATTTCTGTACCACATAACAACTGAAGCTTTCCGAGATCTCGAGGAGTTACTCAAACAATCACAAAAAGCATTTTTTTTTTTTTTTTTTTTTTTTTGGTGGAAAAGCTAGTGGTTTGGAGGATTTGCAATTTAGAAAAAAAGGATGAATTAAGGCAGGGGAGATAAAATGGATGGTCACAAAATTGTGGGGAGAAAAGGTGTTTCTCCACCACTCACAACACTTCAATGGAATTGACTGGTTGCTGACTCTCAGTCCAGCCTGCTTCGCAGGTTGTTGTGAGCATAAGGCAGAGGGGGGCGGAGGAGGACTCTGCAAGCCACCCTGAATTCCACGCAAGAAGAAAATGGTCACGGGGCGAATATAATCCATCTGTAAATCCGGGTCTTAGGCTCAAACCCTGAATTCTCCAGCGAAAAGGATTTCCAGGAGCAGTGCCAGGACACAGCCGCACCCAGGGCGCCAGCGGGGGCTGCTTCCGATCATACTTGGCCAGTCTTTCCCAGCCTGGCGCCCTACAGGTGTTGCGCTGCAATGCCCATCATCCCCGGCAAGCACGGCGGGCACCGATGCGGGAGACAATACCGGGCGAAGACGGAGAAACAGCTCGCGCCGCCCGGTCAAGGTCCCTCGAAAGGAGCAGCAGAGGGCAGAGCAGGATCTCCCGGCCGGACGCTCCGAAGTCCCAGTGACGGCGGCGCCCACCCGGGTCAGAGGCAGCTGCTGCTACCGCGGGGACCGGCCGCGCGTCGGAACTAAACGAAAACGCGGCTGTATTTTCATCGGGGAAGCAAAAGTAGCACCGGACCGGAAGGTCCAGAGGCTCCCTAGACCCCCTTCTCCCCTTCATGCAGCTACTTCCGATTGCTTCACTCTAGGCAGAAGCGAACGAAGGTCCTTGGGCACAAGAGATAGAAATGAAGAGTGATGCACCATACGGAAGTAACAGGGGCTTCCGGTTCTTCTCCACGCCTCAGAGTCGTGTAGAGGGGTAGAGCGACAGAGAAAGACGAGCTTCGTGATGGTAGACGGGAGTAGTGGGAGAATAATCACATCTTACACGCAGCTGGCAAACTCGGAGCGACACTCAGTCTCAGACAGTCGGATGCTTCCTAAGCTACCTCCACATGTAGTAGCTCTATATGTAGTAGCTCTATATGTTCCTGTCCTCCATTGGAATGAATGAAGGCCTTTTCGGTTTACGAGAGGAAGGTAGGCGGCGCGAAGGGATGACGTCGGCTGCCCGCGCCGGAAGTGCTTGGCGTAGAGTCTTCGCTGGGAGCCGGCGGCGGCGGCAGCAGGTTGGACCCCGGAAAGAGAAAGTGGCCGGGAGGGAGCGGGGGGAAGGCGGGGGAGGGCGAGGAGGAGGCCATGGCCGCCGGGAGGCGGCGGGGCACCGGAGCGTTGCCACGGGGACGGGCCACAGCATTGGGATGGGCCGAGGCCTTGCAGTGGGGGCTTGCGGGGGGCGGGTCGATCTTAGGTCTTGGAGCAGCCTTTTCTGGCGCGCTGGATTGCAATTCTCATCATCCCCAGGCAGCCTAGGCAGTGGGCGTGCCGGCTGCGGATGGTGGGAGTTGCAGTCTAAATAGCTGGAGTGCACCAAGTGAGGTGATGTTGCCTTGGGAGGGACAACTGGGGTTGGCGTATTGCTGTACGTTCAGGCGGATTGGTGGAGGGTCAGATTCTGCACCCTGTCCATGCCGTGAGACCGAGCATGTAATTCTCTGCCTGGGCCTTTTCTTACTGTTTAATAGTCTGTCTGTCTCATTAATGATCTCTCCACCCTGCAAGCTTTTAAGAGGAATTTTCACATGGGGGCATGTATCTGATCACAGCTTTGCTTTTTACAAAGGCGCCAGTGGGGTAATCCCTAAAATAGGGAATGGACTGTAACTCCATGGATGCAAAAGATTCCAGCCAGTTTTAATATGCATAACAAAATCACATTGTTTAAGAAGACAGATTATTATGTGCAGCTATGGGGAAGGCTGTCTGCCTCAGACCCCTGAGAGAAGCTGCCAAAGCTCCATATGCAGATAGCCCAAAATAGCTACATGTTTTGTAGTGTGGGAAGAGAATGCAGACAGGCATTGCTGTTGTTTTTAATTGGACACACTCCCAAGAAAGGTCCCCTGACTTGAATGAAGTTGGACAATTAGGGAGTGTATTTTCAAGAAGGAAGGCTTGGGATCGGATAATAGCAACAGTGTACCCAAGCCATGAGTTAGCTGGTTTGGGACCACGGGGAAGCGCACTGCAGAGATGGGATGGGAGAGAGCTGTTTCTTCACAGAACCCTTAGTTCAGCCCACACTTACAGGTATCTTTCTTTTTACTTCTACAGGAGAAATGGCTGCAGATGGATCCCAATCCTGGTTGGGTTCCAAGGACCAAAAGGGGCATTGGCAGTTACCTGCTGAGCAGCACTGTAACACAGACAGCTACCTAAGGTAAGTGTGTCCACTTTCCCGTCCAGCTGTAATGTAGGGAGAAAAGAGGGGTGAGGGAGGGGGGTGCAAGGTTGGATACAGTTGGCCTGGCTGCCTGCTGGAAAGCAAGGCCACCCATGTGCCAGTTTTCTCTAGAAAGGATCAGTCGCTTGCATTATTTCTCATAGGACTGAGATTTGCAGTTTTTCAAAGTGGTGGCAGTGCTTTGCAACCGGCTCTGCACAATTTTTCAAACGCTTTGCACCATTTTTGGCATGCTACTTTCATGTGGCTTTCTAGAATACCTTGATCTAACAGCGGACTCTGCATTTCTGGTTTTAAATATTAACCATACTGGGTCCCGTTATCAGCGCAGGGTCAGAGCATGGCAAAGACTGTGATTGCATCGTTGTTTAAAAGTGTTGTTTGTGTTTGATTTTGAGCAGAACTAATACCATATTTTGATGTACCACAGGTAAATGTTTCCATAACCTTATGGAGAGAAAGGACTTTGAAGCATGGCTTGATAATATTTCTGTTACGTTTCTCTCTCTGACGGACTTGCAGAAAAATGAGGCGCTGGATCACCTGATTGGCTTGAGCGGGGCCGCCCAGCTCAGGCACCTCTCCAATAACCTAGAGACCCTCCTCAAACGGGACTTCCTCAAACTCCTCCCGCTGGAACTCAGTTTCTATTTGTTAAAATGGCTTGACCCTCAGACCTTACTCACATGTTGCCTCGTCTCTAAGCAATGGAACAAGGTGATAAGTGCCTGTATGGAGGTGTGGCAGACGGCTTGTAAGAACCTGGGCTGGCAGATCGATGACTCTGTCCAGGATGCATTGCATTGGAAGAAGGTGTACCTGAAGGCCATCCTGAGGATGAAGCAACTGGAGGACCACGAAGCCTTTGAGACCTCCTCGCTGATCGGACACAGTGCCAGGGTGTATGCACTTTACTATAAAGATGGACTACTTTGTACAGGTAGGATGGCCTGACTGACTTGGCACAACATGAGCCAAGACGTCCCTGGTTCTGATCTGACCTTGGGCAAAGTGGCCTTTCACTAGCTGCCTTTCAGCCTCCATCAACAACGCAGCCCATCTTTCAGGGCCGTTGGGAAAACGAATGCAGTGGTTTATTCCCCAAAAGGAGTGCATGTGCGAGCGTACAAAGCTGTTTTATACCCAGGCAGGTCATTAATCCTTCTAACTCTTTTTGTATCCTGACTGAAAATGGTCCCTTGAATTCTTCCCCCATTTTACCTGAGGTCTTTTTTTTTTTAAAGCTGGAAATGTCAAGAGGAGAACTGTCCTCTGCATGTGTTCTGCTAGGAAGCTGTGGTCCTTCCTCTTTTTGAAAATGGTCTTAATTAAAATTACAGGCAGCTCATTCTTACTCCTGAAGTTATTTGCTTATAAAATGTATGCCTGTCCCTGTCCTCTCGTTGTACCTGCATGTCACTCTCTGATCTGGATCTGGACGAAGCTTTTGATCAGAAGGAGGCAGGTGCAAAGATGCTGGGCAGGGGAAGCAATGTACTTCTGGCTTGCAGGAATCTTTTGATCCTAGGATCATCGAGTGGGGAGTGACCTCAAAGATGATCCAGCCCACCTCTGCCCCGTGTAGGCTCTCGGCCGCATGGAGTTGCTACAGCACCCCTCGCAGACGGCCAGCCAGCCTCTGCTGGTTTCTCCAGCAAAGAAGACAGTCTGTCTCACTCATGGGAGATGTCTCCAGAGTTTTGGTCCCAAACTCCTGTGCCCTCTGCATGCAAAGGGTCTAGTCTGGCCTTCTAGAGCAACCAAGGGCAATTCTTTTCCTCTTCTGCGTGACATGAAGTCCACTGTCATTTCCCCCCTTAATCTTTTTGAGGCTAAGCATATTCCATTCCTTCAGCGGTTCCTCACGGGACTTGGATTTTACTTCCCTCGCCATTCTGGTAGCTTTGTCTGGACATGCTCCAGACTGACCATGTCCTTAGCTCATGATGCCCAGAACTGGGCAAAGTGCTCCAAATGCACCCTAACTAATGCAGAAAAGAGCAAAAACATTACTTCCTCATAATCCGGGCACAATACGTCTGTTAATGCAGAACTTCTTAGCTGTGGCATCGCAATGCTGGATCATATTCGGCTTGTGATCCACAAAAAGTGACATCCAGTCAGCAACTCTCCAAACACAGGGGATTGTGGGTATCTAGTAGGAAGCAAAAGGAGCACAGAGATGGGGGTGCCTGGAAAGCTTGCATGGATGCGGGTCTGAGCTATCTGTTTTATCCTGTTCATGCGGAGGTGAGGCTGACACAGTGCTTCATAAGATAGGTCATATCCTGGTGGAGCTCTACGCCCAAGCACAAGCGCTGGGGTTGCTACTGAGAGAACCACAGCAGCTGTGGGAGCAGAAGGAGGGCGCTCTGAGTAGAGGTGCAGCTCTCACCTGGACACACGTTTCCACGAGCAGAGCTGGAGTTCCAGTGTTTCCCGTGGTCATCTAGGCAGCCACAGGATTGCCAACATCCCTTTCAAATGCACTGCCGCCTACCTAGGTCTCCCACACGTTGTTCTTACATCTGTGATGTAAATGAAAAACTCAGCACAAATTTCTGCTGAATATCAACTTGTTAGGGCTCACTCAGTGTTCCAGCCTGACTAAATTCTTCTGAGTCTTATTTTCTCTGGTGTTGGCTATCGCTTCTAGCCAGAAGTGTGGCATCTAGATCGAGAGAGGTATTACTGCCACTCTATAAGACTCTGGTGCGCCCGCAACTGGAGTATTGTGTTCAGTTTTGGGTCCCTCGTTACAGGAAGGATATAGTCAGGTTAGAGTCAGTGCAGCGCAGGGCCACTAGGTTGGTGGCCGGTTTGCAGGGGATGCCGTATGAGGAGAGGCTGAGGGAACTGGGTCTCTTCAGCCTGGAGAAGAGGAGACTCAGAGGGGATCTGTTGGCGACATGCAGGTATGTGAGGGGGTGTCACACGGAGATGGGTAGAGACCTGTTCTCTCCTGCAGAGGAAGGCAGGACACGCTCCAACCAAGCAAAGCTCAGGGAGCCAAGGTTCCATTTGGATGCCTGGAAGCACTTCCTGACAGTTAGGACCCCGAGGGTGTGGAATGGGCTTCCACGGGAGTTGTTTGAGGCCCCGTCGGTGCGGGTGTTCAAGGATAGGCTAGACATGCACATGGTGGGCATGTCATGAGCGGAGCCTGCTGGAGCTGGAGGTCAGACTAGATGGCCCGGGAGACCCCTTTTGACTCGCTCTGTTTCTGTGTTTCTCTGTCAGCTGCAAACCTGATAAGCTATCCCTCTGCAACCTTATCCAAGGTTGAATGCAGCAGCACTCCAGTGAGAGATCTCGCTCCCAAAGAATCCCGAGCTTTCTATTAGCATTGTCTAATGGTTGCTCAAAAAGCTGCAGGTCCACCTAATTGTGGACAGTCTGACCCACAATTTGCCATCTTGTCAGCAATGGTATCACTGAAAATTTTGTCAAAGGCTTGTTGAAATCGACGAATATTATGCCCATGGCTTTTCCATGAGGGTACCAGATTAGTAACACTAGAAAGCAGATAAGGCTATCAAATCTTGCTGGCTCCTAGTCATAGAGTACTTTTACAGGCTGGCCTTACGTACCTGTTTGAGAATTTTGCTTGATATTGACAGCCTGATTCATCTGTAGTTTCCTGGTTCTGCCCTCTTTTCCTGTTCTTGGCAATGGAGACCGCATTAGCCTGTTTCTAGTTTTCTGGCACCTCTCCTGCTCTCATACATTGGATGTTACTGATTTTATGTTTACATGCTGATTTTTCGGTTCACGTGGGATCCCAACGCAGCTATCAAATAAAACAAAATGAATTTTAGAAACAAAACAGAAGTAAATATCTTTGTAAGCTTATGGCATCATAAACAAAACTCGGGGGATCAGGAAGTATACAGATGCATCTAAATAAAACTGATATACAAATGCATCTAAATAAAACCAACTAAATAAAATGTAGTCCTTTGGTAGACTATGGGGAGGGGCTAAATGAGTGAACTAGTCCCAGTGTGTACATGCCACCACAGGGAGACCTCGTCCGAGGTTCTCTCCATGCTCTTCTCAGATGGTGACAGGATAAGATACCTTCCATAAGATCATAACTTGCAGGTAGGGTTGAGCTGGAGGAAGACAGTCCTACTGGCATCTCAAATTATATAGTTCTTCAAAGGTCCTTCAGCACTTTGAATTTGACTTGAAATCACATCTGTGAAGAATAAATAGCAACAAAACTGCACCTGCCCAATAATGAGCCTCCATCAGCTCATTATTTCGGAATGGTTTTCAAGAGACAAGGTCGGCATTGAGTGGGAGCAGAGTGAAAAGTGGCTGGGCCCCCTTTCTCTTTCTACCAGCCCATTTCCCCCCTGTAGTGTAAATTTTTGTGGACTGGAGCATATGCCAAAGCAGTGCCAATATTTCGAAATGCCAGAAGGGTCTTTTATTTTACTGTAGGAAACTAGAACAGTCACCCTTCCAGAAATTCCTTTTTTCTTTTTCTGCCACTCCCTGTTCTTTCCTCCTACCCTGATCCTCCCTGCCCTGTGGAATTCTGGGTGGAAGGACAGCTCCAGCTAGAAATTGGAAATGATCCCTTGGAGAGAGCGGTCAGAATTAAAATGAGGCCTCACCCTGTGCTCACCGGGCTCCTTTGAATTCTAGAGCCCTTTCCAAAGAGAGGGATTCTGCTGGCTGGCCTACAAATCCCGCTCCCATTGTGGGTCTCTCTGTGACAGTCGCTTTGTTGTGTTAAAGCCCAACAACATGCTGCTGCCTCGTTAAAAGGACTAGAGGAAGGGATACTGATTTGATCAGGCCAAAAGCAGATGGTTCAAAACCAAGCTCTTTTTCTGTCCAGAAAAAGCAGGTTCTTCACTTCACTTGCAGGGCAGCGTTTTGAGGATCTGGGCTACACGTTCGTTTGGATTTCCTTGAGATGGGAGGTCTAATTTTCATGGGACATACGATGTGGGGGCACAGGCTTAATCATACGCATCCAGAATTGGGGATTAAGGGTTTTCGTATGAATGAGACTCTGTGTTCTGCATGAAGTGCTTCACCTCCCCAACCAGAATCCAGATCCTTCAGCTGGAACCAAGTGTGCACGAATTAATTGCTTCATCGCATGTACTCCTCCTGTGTCAAAGATTGAGATTTGGAATTTGTGTCAAGGCTGCCCACTTTGATTTTCTGGCCACTGAACTGCCTTTCCTTTCCCCCTCCCCTCTCCTCCCCTCCCCTCCCTCCCTCCCTCCCCTTGGGGCTGCAGGTTCGGATGACTTGTCCGCCAAGCTGTGGGATGTGAGCACCGGGCAGTGCATCTATGGGATCCAGACCCACACCTGCGCGGCAGTGAAGTTTGACGAGCAAAAGCTCGTCACAGGCTCTTTCGACAACACGGTGGCCTGCTGGGAGTGGAGCTCCGGAGCCAAGACCCAGCACTTCCGGGGCCACACGGGGGCAGGTGAGTCAAGGACTCCGGGAAAGCCAAAGACTTTGGGACCTGCACGGGCCAGCCCCACTGAGCGTCCCCCAGGCTGCCCGGCCGGCCTCCCGCCTGTTAGCTGAAGTGGTCACAGCCAGTTTGTCTCTCCCCCCACTTCTCTACTTTTTCCAGAAAGCTTTTGGCACAACTAGATGACCATATCCTGTTTCCAGGGTGGGCAGCACATGCCCTTCCAGGCTGCAGTACTATTGGCCATGCTGGCTGGGGGGCTGGGGGAGCCCTCACAGGTGTCACGTGCCCTACTGGGTCAGACAAAGGGACTCTCTGATCTCGCGTCCGGTTTCCCAGGCACCTCCATGAACCCCAGAAGCAAGGTCCGGGGTCAAGGCTTTGCACCGTGTCTGCCTGTGAACTGGTAGAGAGAGCCAGTCTCTGGAAGTGCAGGCCTGGTGCAGCAGTCCTCGGCTCTCCTCCCCCGTGGATCTAGCCTCCTTTAAAGCCCTCTTTCCTCGCACTGCTTGCCACGTCTTGTGGCAGCACTTCTGCCAGCCTGCTCCGAATCGACTGGCGATGGCTTTCGTTGCCTTCTGTGTTGTGGGAGCAGGAGGAAAGCGGCTCAATCAGCCGCCTCTGCCTGATGCACAGTCACGTGATTGCATTTGCCTAGCCTCTGGTGGTGGCTGCTTGCGTATGCAAAACAACACCTCCCCCCATATGCAAGAGGGAGGCATCAGCCAGCAAAGAAACTGTCCTGCATCCCTCTGCACATAGCATATAATTTTGGTTCTACTTCCACGAAAGGGGAAGCTCTAATTTCTAGGAAGCCAAACTGACTGTAGTTGCAGAGCAGATAACAAATTATCTGTGTCTGTCTTAGTTTCAGTAGCAAAGAAGTACATGATTGGTACTTAGCCAGTATGGCATAATGGTTAAGGGACTGGGACTGGGACTCAGATGGTCTGGGTTCTAGTCCCCACGCAGCCATGGAGCCAGCTGGGTGCCTTTGGGCCAGTCTCAGACTCTCAGCCCAACCTACCTCGCAGGGTTGTTGTTTTGGGGACACGATGGAGAGCAGGAGGAGGAGAAATTACTCAAGCGGCTTTGAGTGCTTTAAAAACGAAAAAGGTGGGATTTAAATCTAATAAATAGGTCAATTATTTTCTGGCCATATCAGTCCTTTTCAAAGTGACCTTTTCTCTCTGTCAGTTTTTAGTGTGGATTACAATGACGAGCTTGACATCTTGGTCAGCGGCTCAGCGGATTTCACTGTGAAAGTCTGGGCCTTATCCACGGGAGCGTGTCTAAATACGCTGACTGGACACACGGAATGGGTCACGAAGGTAGGTGTGGCTGGCAGCCCAGAGATGGCAGCACCCTCCCTTTGCATAACAAAACGCTGCACCACGTACCACCTGGGAAGTGGCTGCTTTGTCCCAGAGTGTTTTTGGGGACATGTGGCATGTGGGGAAAACTGCACTGTGAAGCCGGATTCCTGTGATTGCTTGCAGGGCACCACCAGTGTGTTCGGTCCTTTATTCCCCGAGTTATTTATTCCTGTACTGCCCAATAGCTGAGGTTTTCTGAGAGATTCACAGCAATTCATCAATCACAGCACAGATTGCAGGACAGCGCCCTGCCCCGGAGAGCTTGCAGTCTGGTATTTGACAAGGACAACCACAGGAAAAAGGGACAGACGTATTGGAGTGCTCAGATCCACGCCCCAAAGGGCTTGCAGTCTTAAATTCGACAAGGCAGGAAAACAGGAGCAATGGGAGAGCTTTTTCCTTTGCGTGTAGGTTGGCTTAGTGACAGTCTTGAGTTGCTTCCATTGTCTGCCACCGACACAGCGAACGGTCAGGAGTTCTGGGAATTGTCTAGAACCATCCGAAGGCGCCAAGCTGACGAAGGCTGTGGGAACTAGCCCGTTGTGCAAAGAAGCCGCGTTTGAATGCATCTGGCTTTGTCTTCAGAACTTGAAGTGCCCCCACCCACAGAGAGAGCGCTGGTCCTTCAGACACAGCATCGTTTACTCTGAGCAGCCGTGGCGTTCCAAGGCTTTGCAGGGAGCACCTTCCAGCCTTCCCGTCTCATGTCCACCTTGCCCCGTTAGGTCTTCTCGGACTGGACTTTGCTCTTCGTGCTCTTTCCTGGACTTGCTACTTGACTAACCATGTTGCTTTCTGCTAAGCTCCGAATTGTGCCCCCGCCCCACAACCCTCTTTGCATCTAAGAGGTAGATAGAATTCAGCGAGTTCTTCTGTCTTCAAGTGGGCAGGCTGAATGTGTGCAAATATGGGTCACAGCTGAGTCAGTTTGAGGTGCCATCATATAGCTTTGGTGGCCTGCAGGTCCCCAGATGTGGAGGCTCTTGAGATGCCTGTGCCCTGCTAGGGGGAAACCAGTCCTACAGATTTTTCTAGCCAGTCACGTCTCCTCCCGCCCCGTCCCCTCCCTTTTCGCTGGCACACCCGTTACCCCCCTCTCCTACTCTCCAAGTTCAGTTTCCAAATGACAGAGGCAGCTAAGTGGTTCTCCCCAAGCTAGCCAAAAAAAGGTGCATCTCCATCCTTCTTTCAAGATTGAAGAACTGTCTCTGATTTCAGAAGAGATTTCCCAAGCTGTCCCTCAGCTCCAGGGACCCTGGCGTTGCTCTTTCCCAAGTACAGAGCAAAATCTCTCTCTCGGGTCCTGTTTCCTGGGCAAAATGCAGTCGGAATAAGAAATGTGCGGCCCGAACGACCTTGCAGCATAATCCCCATCACCAGCGTCCATTGGCCGTGAAGCTGGGACTCAGTGGGAGCTGAGATCTAACCATTTCTGGAGGATGCAGGTTGCCCACCTTTCAAGAGAGCAGGAACCGACAGAGGAGCTCTGCTTGGGCATCTGTTTCCCCAGGGGATTAGAATCATGTGGCGGGAGAGTAACATGGGCCACCTAGCCACCCCCCCCCCACCCCAGCTCTGGGTTGGACAGGGTGCCCCTGGAACACAGAGGAGGCTTTTTTTCAAAGGCTCCTTGCACAAGGTAGAAACCTGGCCAAGCCCTCAGTCTGCCTCCCTCAGCTCTAGCCACGGGGGGGGGGGGGGGCAGAGTCAGGGTCCAGATGTAAATGCATCCAAACCTTGCTTTGGTGATTTGCCTGCATGCCTCCACCTTCATGCCGCCTTCCTTCCAATTGCAGGTTGTCCTGCAGAAGTGCAAAGTCAAGTCCCTCATGCACAGCCCCGGGGACTACATCCTGCTCAGCGCTGATAAGTACGAAATCAAGGTGCGTGGCCTCTCCACCTCGCCTGCTTTTGGATGCCAAGAAGCAGCAGGGCTGCGTGTCACAAGAAAGGGAGGCCTCCGGCCTTCTTGCGGCAGATGGCTAGCACCCCCGTGTGTCTCGTGGTATAAATCGGGGCCCAAAGGGGACTCAGCAGCCGCCTGCTCCAGCATTTGGGACACAAAACCCCCCACTCTCCAGTTACAATAAGGGTACTTTTAAATTTTAAATTCTGAGATGGCTAGTATGTTCTGGATTTTTTTTTATTTGGTTATTTAAAACTCCTCTATACTGTCCCTTGCCAAAGTCTCGGGATGGTTTAACAATACGATGCTTTCTTGATGTTGATTCGTTGAGTTACTTCGTCAGGTACTAATAACCTACCAAAACCAAATTACAAACCTCCAAATAATTTGAGAACTGGTGGGGTTAGAATGTCAGTCCAGGACTGGGAAACTCACTCACTTTCTCTCCACCTAAGCTCCCTCTCAGAGCTGTTGGGAAGACAAAATATTTAAGGGGGCGGGTGAAATGGCCTTGCCCGCCATGAAGGGCAGGTGCAGTCCAGATGTGGGAGCTCCTACTCTGAGTGGGAATTTGCAGCCAGACCCTGCCCTATGGAGTGCTCCTATTTCAGGATTCCAGCCACTACCATTCCATTCCTCCTGTTCTGGGTGTTCCGTTTCCCTCTCCACAACACTCCAGTAGTAATTTCCGGCCACTGAACATGCTCAGTACTCATTGGCATGTTTTGCAGTTCCCCCTCCCCGCTCTCAGGAATTTTTTCTTTGGGGAAGACTGCAAACCTGAGTTCCTCCATTGCAGGGATGGCGCCATTTTGCCTACAGAGCAGAGAATGGTGTGATTAAAAAAAAGAACAAGCGAGCATGAAAAAGTGGATCAAGAACCTGAAGTCCTTGCGTTTGTTTGTGTGCTCCCCTCTTTATTCTTGCTGCAATGTATCATCAAAAGCATGTACTTGTCCCGAGGAGCTTGCAGTCGAGGTTTAAGGTGCATGGGAGCAGAAAAGCAGCCATGAGAGAGAAGGGTGCGCTGAGTGACGGAGTCACTTTGTCGCACGTACGTAGGGCAGGGGTGGGACACGCAAGACCCTCCAGATGTCCTGGGACTGCACTCCCATCAGCTCTGGGAAGCTTAGCCAGAGGCGAGGGATGATAGGAGTTGCAGCCCAGCAGCATATGGAGGGCCAAATGGGCCCCATCCCTGATGCAGGAACTAGCAGGTAAACCTGAGGCGGACAGGCGTGCATCGAGCTTTCCTTCAGGAAAGGCAGCTCTGCAAGGATATTTGGGGAAGGGCATACAGTCAGCACAGGTGGATTCAGAGAGGGCCAGGTGTCCTGCTGCCGCAGGTGCCCGAATGCCTCACCCGCTCTCTCGTCTCGTCGCATCTCAGATCTGGCCGATCGGACGAGAAATCAACTGCAAATGCTTGAAAACCCTGACGGTGTCCGAAGACCGCAGCATCTCCCTCCAGCCCCGGCTTCACTTCGACGGGAAATACATTGTGTGCAGTTCAGCCATCGGGCTGTACCAGTGGGATTTCGCCAGCTACGACATTCTCAGGTAAAGGCCCTGGAGGTGAAGCGGGTATTTGCAGAGGACCTCTGGCGCCGGCGCCGGCTGTTCCTCTCAGGGCTGCGCAACCAGCGTGCAGGTCAAGCAGATGTCTGAAAGGACCATCTGAGATAGGCAAACCGGCTTGCCAGCAGTGGCCTTCTGGTGTCTTGCTTTGAGTGCCTAGTTTCCCTACACTGGCGTCTGCAACAGCCACCCCTTAGTCTCCCCGTCTGGCCTGCTTATTCCCTCCCTAATCCCATACATTTCTTCTTTGGATAAAGCCTTCTCCCTGTTCGGCCATCTCCTCTAAACTCTCAGGCGCTCAGCCAATTGCAGGCAGAGGAGCTTGCGCTGGAAACAGAGGAGCCGAGAGACCCACTTGGCTGCCTAGTATCACTGTGGCAGAGAGGAAGCCCAGCCATTTCTTGCTGCACTACAGTCCAGAATATCTACTTCATTTTTTAAAAAGCCAATTCCTCGAAAGTTTAACTTGTCTTGTGTGCTCTTTTCTTCTGATCTCTCTGCCTCTGTCTGTCTGTCTGTCTGTCTGTCTCTCTCCCTCTCTGTCTGTTTCTCTTTCCTGCTGCTGCAGGGTTATCAAACCGCCTTTGTTTGCAAACTTGTCCTTGCTGGGCTTTGGTGACATTTTTGCTCTCCTGTTTGATAACCACTATCTGTACATAATGGACTTGAGGACAGAGAAACTGATCAGCCGTTGGCCACTGCCGGAGTACAGGAAGTCGAAGAGGGGCTCCAGCTTCCTGGCAGGAGAAATGTCTTGGCTCAATGGTTTGGACGGTGAGAATGACATGGGCCTGGTCTTTGCTACCAGCATGCCAGACCACAGTATCCACCTGGTCTTGTGGAAGGAACATGGCTGAAGGGAGCTGTTGGCATACGTGGCGTGGCTCTTTTTAAAAAAACAACAACACACAGTAAAAACACACAACGGACACTGCCAGTGATGGTTCAGAGAGAGGAGACTTTGCATGAACCAAAGCCGCACATCTTAATGGATCCCATCATGCAATGCACAATCATTTAAGCCTTTCATTTTCAATGTCACGTTGAGAAACGGGGGGTGGAGACTACAAGTTGGGGAGAGGAAGATGTTTGGGGGGGCTTTTTTTCCTTTTACACATAATGCACCATAGCATGGCGATTGCCTCCCCACCGCTCACATATACTCATGTTTAAACATACACTCGGGCACACTTCTCGGCTGTATTTTTACTTCACTTGCCGGGGGGAGGCTTATTCAAAGGGCATTGAACCTGAGACGTCTTCTCTTCCCCCTGCAATCTCTCTCGCTGAAAGGATTAAAAGGAGGTGGTTCATGAAAGGGGGGGGGGATCTGATCACTCTAAAAAGGGACTGTGCCCGTAGATAATTTATTCAGAGCTGTTGCTCTCTCCCCCGCTACCTGCACCTCACTTCCACACACTCTTCCCCCTGTCGCACTGGCTTCACACACTTCTGCTCCTGGCCATGGCCATGCCTAGCTGTGAGGAACACCTGAACAAAGAGATGCGTCAGGTATCTATGTATTGTTCTGAGCGTGGATGCATAGGGGTTTCAGTACCTGGGGTCCGAGCGAGCCTGAGTTTAAATAACCCTGAAATGCTTATCTCAGATGGTCACCTGTACAGGCACACCGAAACTGCTCTTTCACTGTGGGATTATTTTAAAGGCAGCCATCCTGGCTTAAAAACACACACACACACACACACACCCTGCATCTTTTTGAGGATAATTCTTGACCGCTTGCCTAGGGGTAAAGGGCAGCCCCCAAGTCCATGCTGGATCTTGTCCTATCCTCTGTCCAGACTCAAAAGAGTTCGACACTTAAAAGCAGGCGCCTTGTGATGAGGCGTATGGGGTGGAAATGGGGGCAGGCCTTCCGTGCTCTTTTGTTTGTTGGGGGCAGGAGTGACTCTTCCAGCACATGCTACGGAAATTTACATGAATTTACAAATGAATAAACCAACAGCCTAGTTCAAGACTTGTATCCATGTGCAGTTACTGACTGAAAAGCTTTGAGATGGTCTCCCTGGCCTTGGACTAAAATATGAAGTTAATTTTGGCTCCTGCACCCACAGACGTACTCCCAGCAATTGGGTCAAAGGATTGAGGTCGCGGAAAGACTTTAATAGCAGTGGAGGTACGGGGGGAGCCATGGTGTTGCCTCATGGCTGTTTGTTGCATTGTTTTGGTAACTGGATGCTCCTGGGATTTGCGGGGTGGGAGGTGTCTGCGCTGCGGTTGTAAAGGCCACTGGGGGACGGGGACGGGGGGTTAAGCACCCCTTTAGGATCCCGTCATTGCCTGCTGGGGACTGTGTAATGACAGCACACAGCTAGGTCCACAAGGCCCTGCAGGCAGGCGCCAGACTGCCTGCTGAAGACAAGGTGCTGCCCCAGGGGAACTTTTGCTCTGACCCGGCGGGGCGGCTTGGGAGCCTAGAGGCACGTGCAGAACGCAAGGATGCAAAGCCAAGAGGTAAGTTCAAGGGTGTTGGGGCTGGGCTTGCCCTGGCGGTGCAGATGGCCTTGTGATCTGGCTCCCATTCGTGGGCTGATAAATTGGGGTGGCTTCACCAATTTGCCTCCTGGGGCCGAAGGTATTTGCGAGGGAGCTCAGCATCACAGGGAGCACCGATAAAGCTCAGCATGAAAGCTGTAGTGGATAAGGGACCGAACTGACGTAGGAGTTAAGCGCCCCTTGCTCAGGAAGAGGTGAGAGCACACATGGGTGTGTTCAGTCCCAGGCCTGTCCGGATAGGGCTGGGGAACATTCCTGTCGGAAACCCTCTGCCTGGTTCAGTGTTTGTGCCAATCTGTAGCTATTGCCTGAATGTTTTTCATCAGAGGACGACGCCTGTCAGCCAGTTTGGAGAGACCCACACCCCAAAGATGCAGCAGGGCTGGCTGAGGTATATTTTGAAGCAGTCCTGTTGCTGTGGGTCAGTGGAGGCAGGTTTTGGCCGACCTCAGGCATGTGGACCAGATCTGCACCTCCCGGTCTCGTCAATTGGCTAGACTCGTTTCCATGCCCTCTTAATCACTGGGGGCCTTCACTGTTTTTGCATGTTTCCCCCCACCCACAACCTAAAAGGTTGCAATGCCATCACCTCTGGCTTTGTTGCAGGGCAGTAAACTGAATTACACGGGTATTTTTGGTTTTGTAGCCCCACCTTATTTGTCTTTAGCTTCTCCCCCTTTATTTGTAGCCTTGGAGGGCCACCTGAGTTTCCTCCATTGAATTTAGCCCTCCGTGTCATGCCATCTCCTCAGGTCTTGGGATTCAGAGGCAGAAGAACCTGGCTTTGGTCTGTCAAGGGTGGAAAAATCGCCCTCTGAGAGTCCACTGGGGTGTACAATTAAAAGAATATTTACAGTGAATTCAGACATAGAGGAAATATACACGGCTTGTAGGCAGTCCCTTTAGGGACTGCCAAGAGGGCGGCTGCAAGAAGTTTTCATAACCTCTCGGTTGCATACATACAGCCTGGTGGTGGGTCACACACACAGCGTACCAGAGGCATGTTAGAATAAAGCGAAAGGGATTGTATGGGATAACGGCAACAGCACAAAAAGCGCCTTCGGGTCAGGTAAGCAGTTGGCATTTCTAAGCGTGTCCCTCCAGAGAACAGGCAAGTATTGGCATCTCTAAGGTGCACCTGCAACATGGATTCCCGGTCAGATCAGGAAGTCTAAAGCCATCCCGAGCTGTTTGTAGGGGATGGGATAGAAAGGCTTTTAATAAATACATGAGCTGTTTTCAAAGTGTCAGGCTTTCAGCAGCCGTATTATGGCAGGGCTTTCGCTCATCTTGTCCTGTCAGGTCCTCGTTCAGTTTTGAGTTCTACCGGCATTTGGTCTCTGCCTGGTGTTTATCACTGGGAGGCAGCAAGCCCTTCCCAAACACAGCCAGGTTAGTTTGCGGGGAAAGCACCCAGGCCGCTGCAGCAGGAGGATCGTGACTTGAGAAGCGGATGGGCGGGCTTGGCCGAGAAAGCGGACATGTCCACAGCTGTCTCCCAGGCAAAGCAGTGGTTGAAAAAGTGGGAGGAAAAACAGGCAGGGAAGCGCTCCACTCTGGGCTACTCGGGGCGGGGGGGAGGGGGGGCTCTACGCAGCCCAGCAGTGTAGGAAAGATGCTGGACAGGGACCAGAGGGGTGTGCGCAGCGTCGCTGCTCCGCGCCACCCAAAACTATGCTGAATAATTTTCCTTGCTTGGCATCTTCTCTGTCTGGCGGTGGCTCTCAGTTGGGTAATCCGACTTTCGCTAAACCTGGGTTCCTGAAGGACGTGGAGTCTGGCAAGCTGCCCGTCCGTCCATCCTGCTGAAGTATGAGGATGCTGTTTCCTCCCTAGGTATTTGGTGATAGCTGCTGCAAAACAGCAGGCCAGCTAGAGGCTCCCTGCATGTAGATGAAGCCAAGTTGGACGAGCCAATGCTTGGCTTGATAGAAGGTGGCCTTCGGTGTTGACCCACGCTTTGGGAAGGCTCCATAGCACAGTGGGGGTGAGCTGCTTTGGACCCAGGTTCAGTCCCTGGCAGCATATCCAGGTAAGGCTGGGCAACATGCAGCAGAGGCCCAGATCTGTTCTTGGATGCTGTGGTGCAAGGGACGGGATTTCTGACGGGTTGAAAACACGGCAAGTTTTAGCAACAAACACATGTCTTCATTCCATGCAATGTTGAATCTTGCTACTGGAGAAAGGGCTCACTTAAGGAGTGTTAATGTCATGCATGTTATGTTTGTCTTACCATTTTTATTTTTATCTAAGGATTGATTGAGGATAGCCCTACCTTTGAAGGGCTACTTTCAAAGTGAAGATACCTCCTTTCATTCCAAGTATCCTCTCTCTGAAGGACTGGCCAGCCCAAGCTTAGTTTAAATAACTCCTCAGTTGCTTTCAGGTGGGACTTTTATTGGGCACTTGCTCTGTGTCATTCGTGGGGTTTTACAGAAGGGCCGGATCACTATACAAAAGCCTCAAATGTTCCCCACTCTTTCTTCTTTCAGCTTCCACAGAAAATCTGTTTATGTAGGAAAGATGGAATAAACCTCATAGTCTCTTTTGATTGTTTTGCATACTAAGGAGGAGGAGGAGATGGAGGCATTTTGCCCCCTGTCCCATAATGCTGGACCCCAAAGGGGTCATCCTAGGAAGCGTTTGAGTGGGAAATTCGGGAAAGATCAGAGGAAGGACTGCACAATCCATGTAGCTGGGCCAGTGCCAGGTACCAGAGAATTCCAGGGTCCATACAACAGCAAATTAAATTTAAAAATGTGCAAATTTCCGTGTGCTAACTGTATATGCTATAATAATAAGGCGCTCTCTCTCCCTCTCTGGGTGTGTTTGTACTCTTCTAAAGACCTTGTCACTGAAGGACGCCTCTATTTGTAAAAAGGGCTCCATGGGCAGGGGAGAGCAAAGCACGTCAGTTCGGAAAACGAGGCAAAGACAGCAGGAGGGGAAGCCCATGTTAGCCCAAAGGCAGCTAGTCCAGGGGAATCCGACACAGCAGAGATCTTCAGCGCCCCTGACGCTTCCTTTCAGCAAGTGCCCATGCCCAGCAGGGTGGTGGGGGCAACGGCCTCTCAGAGGTTCCAGGTTAGAGCCCCAACCCCAATTTTTGTCTGGGAGACCTGACCAGTTTTGCACCTCCCTCTCCATCCCAAATTGGGTGCATTAAGAGATTTACACATGTTCTAAAGCACGTAGGTACGTGTGTGTGTGTGTCTTCCAAGCGCCTGTTGCCCAAGGTTTAAAGGGATGTGTGGAGTGCAGAGAGGAGGGTATTTGATTTCGGGAGGTGGGGGGACCCTTCTGCAGAAAGATTCAAGGCAGGGGACAGCAGGTGGGGAAGCCCCCCCCCCAGCCCTTATTTATTTATTTATTGTTTGATTTATATCCTACCTTTTTCCTACAAGGGGCTCAAGGCAGCTTACAGCATCCTCCTCCTCCATCTTATCCCCACAACAACCACCCTGTGAGGTGGGTTGGGCTGAGAGTCTGTGACTGGCCCAAGGTCACCCAGTTGGCTCCATGGCTGAGCGGGGACTCGAACCCAGATCGCCTGAGTCCCAGTCCCATGCGCTTAACCACTACACCACACTGCCTCTCCTTATCATGCTTCTTGTATGCATTCTTCACCTCCAGCTATTCATAGATGCCATGTAGTTGTCAATGCTGGAACAAGGAAAGGGGGACCCTTATTGAGCATCACAAACATGGCTAATTGCACAGGGGTTCCAAGTGAGGCTTTTCCGAGCAAAGCACTCACTCCTGCACCAACGAATCCCTTGGATTTGCTTTCTCCTTCATTTTTTTCAAGCTCTTTCTATTAGTGAACTTTGGTACATTCTCACCCCCTATAAAGAATCACAACATTCTCATGCATCTCTGCATTCATCAATGCAAAATAAACCTACCAGCTTCCTTCCTTTGGCTCCCTGGTTCATATTCTCAGATAGGCAAGAACCATTAAATTATTTTTGGATACTTCTTCCAGTATGCACAGGACCCGTGTGCTGTGATTTCTCCGTTCCTCTCTTGAACATGCACAGGAGCTTCGCCTCGTCTCTGTCATACCTTAAAAAAGGTTTTCTTTTCTTGACTCCGAGGATCAATATCCATACCTTTTCCCGGAATCATCACATCATTGCTTACAAGGGTATGCTTTGTAGTACCCAGCTAACCAAACTGATCTGTGACGAATTATATCTCCAGAGTGTTGTGTCCCCTAATCAGGGATACTCTGGGCACGTCTGGTTGGAAGGCAGTCCGGCAGTGGTACACCATTGCAACCTCCATGGGGACCTCTACGCTGCCTCCGAACGCCTGGAGAATGGAGTGAACGGAGGTCTGAACCACCTTCCTAGGATTGACAATCCTCTTCCGTGGGCTGAGGACCTCTTTCCTATCTGGTTCTCGGAGAACGTGCTGCGGTATATTTACTCCTGGTACTGCATTCCAGGGGGGATTG